TAAAGATACTGTAACTCGGTGCCGTTATACTTCCGGTACGTGAAACAACCTCGAGAGGTACAGAAGATTTGCGCACTTATTTTACAATTATATCCTTACAATCAACTATAACCGTTCTACCAACTACATCTGAAAGTAATTTATTGGGCAAAAGCCATCAGTGTAACAAAAAGTGCATTCGCGTAATAATACTTAAAATGATAGAAATTTAATGATATACTACATCTTATACATATCTTATACATTATACTACATCTTGTATATATCTGTTTGCGAGAGGTCCCTGATTATTCTGAACCAGCAGTTGTTCCTGATGGTACGAGGACCACACACATGGCAAGGACCACACAAGGCAAGGACCACACCACACAAGGCAAGGACCACACTCGTATCCAGACAAGGCAAGACCTCGCATATCAAAGTCTACGAGACTCCGACAAGAAAGATGCCAGTGCAGACAAGGTCACAACATCAAAATCTATCAAATTCTAACCACGAAAATCAGTCATGAGCCGACATGTCAATTACTCGATCGATAAACCGGCTAAGAGAGGAGAAAGCGGATGTTGCGATGAATAAGCAGATAAAATGGAAACGCAAAAAAATCAAGGCGAAAAAAGACTTTCGCAGGCAGGAAAGGTGACAGACGTGGTTGATAGTGCTGAAGCTGGTGGACTGTCAGGGAGAAAGATAGCGCTGCAGTACTGCAAATCACCCCTTGCGAACCGTTGGGACTCAACGTAACGAGATGTCTGGTTTATCCGGTTTGTACCTTTAATTAGGCTTTAAAAGTTACGAGAGTCTTTCTGCTGATAATGTCTCAAGACATCCAATTTGACTCATGGAGGCAGCAGTCGAATAAATTACCATGTTTCGACGCCGAAAGGTATGTAACACCTGTATATTCTATTGCTGTCTGCTGGTATAATATGCATGAACATGTTGTAAAATTGGCCAGATGGAAACATCGTCTCTGCCAGCGTGGTACTCTGTATATCGTTCAACATGGCAAGCCGCAGTATATCGATCAACCTACCAAGCCTGGCATTCAACCAGCTGTTAGACAACAACGTAGCTCAGCTGTACAGCGCGGCCACCGCCCTGAAACCTGATGGAAATCTGGCAGTGTCCCCTCTCTCCATCCTGTACGCCAGTGCGCTGATGTACATCGGCTCATCCGGATCCACTAAATCCAATCTGGAAAAAAGCTTCCATTTCGACCAGTATTTCAGCAGCAATACCGACTCCGTACTCTCCGCCTTCTCCACGTCCATGGCCAACTTAACCTCGGTTAAAACCGATGGGGGTCCCTTCGTTATCAACTTGGCTAATGGAATATTTTTGCAAAAAGGTTCGCCGTTCGTCAACAAATTTAAAGATGCCGGTGTCTCCAAACTGAAATCCGAGGCACAGTTCAAGGACTTCCGAACCGGCGCCGAGAAAGCCCGGGGAGAAATTAACACGTGGGTGTCTGACAAGACTAACGGGCGCATTAAAGATCTACTGCCTTCTGTCTCAGCGGATGCCATTGCGATACTGGTCAACGCCCTGTACTTTAAAGCCAGCTGGGAATCCTGGGCGAAATTTGATCCCAGTCTTACCGTAAAGATGGATTTCACACTGCTTAACGGACAGAAGACCAAGGTGAACATGATGCAGAATTTTCTATACTCGCTGGCGTATGCTGAAGATTCTACTCTGGATGCCAAATACATTGAATACACCTACACGAATAACCTCGGCGCCATGCTTTTCTTGTTACCCAATAAGAAAAACGGACTGCGCGCACTGGAGAAGAAATTAACGGCCGGTATTTTCAATACACTGAAGAAAAAAGCCAAAGAAGAGCGAGTGTCCCTGCAGATCCCCAAGTTCAAAGTGGAAACGAGTTTCAATCTAAAGACGCTTTTGCAGAAGATCGGCGTAAAGGAGGCTTTCGATAAAAACAGTGCTGATTTCTCTTACATGACTCCGCAAAAGCCAGTGTGGATTGGCGCTGCCTCGCACAAAACATTTGTCGGTAAGAGTGCATCTGTTTTAAAGAAACCGGTTACTGACAGCGAGTTATTTAATTTATTCTACAGCGAAGCCGGTTGTCACTTACCGATTTTGGATAATTAATGTTTTTGTTGCCTGTTTTGTTTGACAGAAATTGATGAGCAAGGCACAGAAGCCGCAGCTGCCAGTGCCTTTGAAATGCCGGAAGGAGCATCAATGCAAGAAGAGCCGCCGAAAGAATTTGTTGCCGATCATCCGTTCATCTTCGCCATCCGCCACAATCCAACCAATGCCATACTTTTCCTCGGTCGCGTGGAAATTTTTTAGCGTGCGTTTAAATAGCCCGCTAAAGAAAATGTTTTTTTTCCAAACTTACTTTAACGCTGGCTTGGGTAGAAAAAGCTTGACCAAATATTCAGCCGTTGCAAAGTTCTTAAAATTATTCGTAACTCCCGCAGCTGGATTGCGGCTATCAACAATAAAGAATTTTAGCGTAGACCGACACCATATATTATGATATAACAGATACACTGGCAGCAGTGCAGCAGTCACACACACACACACACACACACGGATAATGCAAAGTGTGAGCGGTAAACACTTGTAACAGACAGAAAAGTGGATGGTGGTTGTGTATCACTACCGAACCTAATCTACCTTTCTCTTTCTGTCGGGCTTCGGCTGAAAGATGGATGCGATTTCATTGATTACCCACCTTCCTGCCGACTACAGATGTTCATTTCAATTGTACGCATCAGTATGTCACGTCTGCATGATCATAACTTTTTTTAGTCATGCAAGTAACCAGAATGTTTTACCGATCCAGGTATACAACTGCTGCTCACAGTGCATGACAATGGCGCACGCACATACTACAGTAATCAGTATCTTCGTTATTTATTAGATACATTTTCTGTGCTGTACGCTTTTATGTTCATTGTGCGCCCGTATACCACAAGAAACGCCCAAAACATCCTATGACTTTATTGTAATATCATTATTAGTATTTCGACCAGACTTGAAGTCCCTTCGGGGTGGTCTGCTCTTGTGCCGCAATAATAATAACAATAATTATTATTATTAGTAATATCATTATTACTACTATTCGGAGTCTTGGATCAAATCCATATCGATACATCACGCTGTTTATAGTTTTCTTTGTAGTGGGACTCACGTTAATCCCTCCTCGGACATCCGAAACGATTTGGCATATTTATAACGGCACTTCTTTATCTAAAAATACAGTTCCCACAAGTCTGCACACTGAGTGCACTTTCCTGTACTGTGTACTCATGTACAGTACATAGGGTATGCGATTCCCGTAAACATTAAGACGAGAGGTACCCAACATATGGTTAAATTGGTACACCCCCCGTGCTGCATATTGTTGGAAAGAGCGTTTCGTGATCTACAACCCGACACCAGCATAGTTTATTAAAATTTTAAATTGAAAGAGCTATTTGGACGTTAAACAGCAGTACAACAGAAAGTTGCCAAAAGCGCTCCGTTACAGCAGTGGCCTGTCGGTCAGTTTAGTGGGCAATGGGCAGCGATCGGGCCTGCCGCCTGCTAGCGCTCCTGAACTCGTGCGTCTTCCTGGTTATCTCTCTCTCCCCGCTCACAAAGAATAAGTAGGCCATCAAACTGGCAACGATGCGAGTAGTGATGCACCTGACAACAAATATCCTACACGGCAAGAGTTGAACCAAGGTTGAACTTTAAAATAAGTATTCTAAGTTCATTGGCATTTCAAAACAGGAGTAGAAGTTTTCACAAGAAAGCAATTAAAGGTATGCTTATATTCAAGTGGCTTATTCACATTTTAATAACAAAATACGCGCTTTGTGCCGTAGGTCAAAACCTTGCTTAGTTCATTCGAAACTTAGGAATTACTCCTAAGCTAACAAAAATTATTACATCCGTGCAGTCTTTCCTGTTAAAGCCAGTAGGTAGCGAATTATTTGATACGTTTTGATAGTACTTATTACATTGTTACGTTTTGCTTGGTATTATTGGTAAAAAGTACTAAGGCACGAAAATGAGATGACAACAGGTTTGCACTTAGCAAGCAGTTTGCTTCGGGTCTATTCGCTATCGTAGTTCGGGAAAGACACTGAAAAGAGATGAAAAGGTTCGAGCAGGATACACAGTATGCGGGTTTCTATATGACGCGTCTCATTTGCTTTTCGCCACATGGCCCGGTTTGTATGCAATCGGCCATTGTGGTCAAACAGTCTTCGTGGTCTGACCGGCTGACCGAATGGCTACCGGCAGGCTGGCAGGCAGAATACTCTGTGCGTGGCTTCAGTGGTCACTTGCCTGTTGTACTGAACTTTGACGCGATAGTGGCTTCCAATTTATCAAGTCCAAGAAGATATTCCTGTTACAGTGTACATTGTCGGCATCAAAGTGAACAGGAAGACAACTACTCGCTCTATCCGTTGCACTAATTTTCATCTCGATGTGACGTCGGGTTCGCCCGGAATTTCGGTTTAAAATTTTGTTTTTGATATTTCAATGGCGTTTTTTTCGAATTTTTCAAAACCCTACCAGCAACGGATAGTCGACATCAAGATCTATCATAAGACGACATATCGTCCTAACCGGATGTATAGTGAATATTTTCACCGGGGTCGAAGCTAAAAATTAATTTCCCCATTATTTTGTTAATGACCCTACAAAACTTCCCAAAAATATTAGTAGATGATAGCACAACATCTTGGTGGCGTACGGCAGTAGTTAAATTGACCGTACATTTACCACCGCGTGCACACAAAAAATTAGCGCAAGGGGACCATATGCTGGGTACCCCTCGTCTTAACCGCTTTACTGTCGCTGGTTTTATCAAGCAGTAGCAATCAGTTTCTTCAGCGAGCCAGAACTCTATCTGTTAAATCAACTTCACCATGCTACAATATACTCGATATACAACTAGTATTTTGCTTAAATGGTTTACTCATTTATTTGCTCAGGCTGATGTTCCTGTAAAATAGTGTGTCAGATTTAAGCACCGGGCACTGGTTAAAGTCGCGAGTGTCGAAAAAATACTAAGAGTACGGTTTAAGCCACCAAAGTTCCATTGTTTTTTAAGTTTTCTTTCGGTCTAACTTTTTGCTGATATTGCATTAACGGTTTAATAAGCAACCGAAAACGCAGAACAACTTTTACATTAAGATGGTGAAAATCACGGTGTCGTTGCGATTGTTAATTTTGCTAGTCGGACTGCAGTTATTAAGGAATTGCGCTGCAGGTCAGTCATGAACACGTATCGATGTTAAATTTACTCGCACTACATATTGAATACTGGCACCGCGACATTTCGCCGCCGACAACTCGTCGCAGGACTTTTGGTCGCTGAGATTTCGCCGCAAGGTCATCACGCCCTGCGACGTTTCGTCGCCGGACATTTAACCGGCAGGACATTACGCCGCGAGACATTTCGTCGTCCGGCCGTTTCGATGCCGAGACATTTCGCCGCAGGGCTGTTTTGACGAAAAGTCCATTTTAGCAGGAAAACATTTAAAATACGAAGGTTAAGAACCATAAGAAAACCTTAAGAAAACTAAGAATAACCTAAGAATATGTAACCTCAGAATAACCTAAGAATACCCTAAGAATGACCTAAGAAACCTAAGAATAACCTAAGAAACCTGAGAATAGCCTAAGAATAACCTAAGACTAACCTAAGAATATCCTTAGAAGAACTTAAGAAGCCCAAAAGACTTAAGAAAACCTCCCAAGAAACCCGGAAAACCTGCAAAATTAAGCGTGTCGAATGCTTTTGCGGCGAAGTGTCCGCGACCAGAGTACGTCTTGCGTCAGAATGTCGCAAAGTCAAAATGTTTCAATGCTAATTGTCCCTAACCGAAGTGTCCCAGCGTCAAAATGTCCCGCGGCGAAATTTCTTCGCGGCGAAAAGTCGTGCGTCGAATTTAATTGCGGCGAAATGTCACACTCCCAAATGTCCGGGTGCGTGAATACTACTGATGCAGTCGCAACGAAAGGTTGAATTTTGTCAGCGTACGACTGATATTCGCGTTTTGTCGTAGCTGAAGGAGACTTCCCTGTATTTGAGGGGCGGCCTATTAGTGAAGCAGAATGCAACAACTTACCGAAAAACAACTGCTGGAAAGGGATGGTGAACTGTCGTGTATCGTATGCAAAACTGAAGAGGGTGATAGGAAGTGTCATGACATTGGAGTGCTACGGAAATGCAACTGATCGGGTAAGGCGTACGTTACAAAGCGTGATGGAATTTTCAAAATGCAAAATCGTCTGCCAGCTCTGCCTGGTCTTTAAGCTATCTATGCAAGCTATGTATACGTATTGTACACGACGCTACGCATATTTCAAAATATACTGTATTATTTTGAATTGTAGTATGAAATACGATGAATATATCAAAACATTAAGGAGTCTATCAAAATTTATTGTATGATGATCCTTATTACAATCTATGACTAGAAACTTTCTCTTGAGAACTTTTTGTTATCCACATGGGCGTAGCCAAAGAACGTGCCTTGTGTACAGGTAGCAAATGCAAATCTGCTACCAAGTTTCCTTGACCGCTTGTATTGTAAAAATATTACTGATAGCGCCTGTTATTCATTTAAATTGTTAGACCGCAGACATTGTATTAAAAGATATACGGCGTGATGACCATTGACCAATGACCTTTTGTATTTGTACAGGAGTATCTGGACACAACCACAAGTATTTCCCTCTCTAACCGAAACCGCGCAGTTGAAGCGTTCTACAGCGAAAAGTTCGATTCTTACAAACTGTCTTCAGAAGCTGTCGCACCCATCCAGAAGCAAATCATTGAGTTGCATTTTCTGAATTGCAAAGACCAGTCAAGTACATCCCGCATTGGCGCACTACCCTTGTCGAATCTTTTGGCTCTACAAATTTTCAGCTGCAATAACTTGATTGTTAAGAAAAATGACTTTGCGCCTTTTAAACATATTAAATTCCTGGATTTCTTCCTGACATCCTTCGCATCCATCGAGCCGAATACGTTTACAGACCTCCCTCAGCTGAAGTCGCTCTTACTGGAGGCAGAGTCGAAGGCAGAGATAGCGGCCATCCGCAAGATCCACTGTGACTGCGATTACGCCTGGCTGCGCAACTGGCTGGATGCCAATCCGCATCTGCTCAGCGATCGGGACGAGGGCGAGTTGTACATCATCGGCAACCACCTGAGCAAACGCGTTTTCAGGTCGACAGCATTTTATGCTGTTGACTGCGCCTTGCCGACATTGTTCATCGCGAATGCGGACTATGACTATAACAACGCTCTCAAGTTTTCTATTAACGTTGCATGCAAATAACCTTTTCTTGAGCCTGCCTTTAGCGGTATTTTAGATGTGATTCTTCCTCATACTGGTTAGAAAAATGCAATACGTACTGTGTGATTTTTCTATGCCAAGAATTTATTGCGACGGAGAACACCAGAATTTAATCTCAGTTCGCTTATCTTCTTCTGCGTATGACACCACACCGTTTCCCGGTTGGCTTGTATCAACCTCCGTCACAGCCTTATCAGTATGCATTGTAATTTCGTTGCTGTAACTTCAAACTCAGAGACCGCATCTTGTGGCGGAAATTAGTAGCATATGGGTCTCTGCGGGTCACGCTGCAAATTGTGTATATATAGAGTGTAAAGATTCAATCGATTTAACTGGATTTGTCATGAAGTGGTGATCGGTTTCGGCAGCTAGCCAGAACTGTATCTTTCAAATCAGTTTATACACAGTGCTATAATACGTACATAACTACGGTAGCTTCCTTTTGAAGTTTAAAATTTAGGGTGAGACTGCAGGCACCCCTTTCACCCCGGTTTGCTATAAGCACCCCCTTTTGCACCCTGTTTTACTATAGGCACCCCTTTTCTATTAGATAATTCTCGCACCCCCTCTTTTTCCGCGGACTATAGGCACCCATTTTTAGTTTTTTTCCCGAGCAGTGACTAAAATTTTTTGAAAGTTTTTTTTTTGTTGACAAAGATTTTTTGACGATCTGATATGACTTGGTCAGGTATCACATAAAAAGGTGTACTAGCCTACTAGGCACTCCATCCGACAATGAGCCGCCTTCAGATCGTCTGATAACGGGGGTGAAAGGGCGTGCCTATAGCCATTTTCTAAAATTTAACGTGGTACTCGTACATACGTTCTCGGTGACTGCCAAAACAACGTATCAGAATGAGATAAGTTCTGGACATTGCAACTGTTTAAAATCATAAAAAAGTACCTCTTTTTGGCTAACAAGGTTCCGTTGCATTTTTAGAAGTTATTATATGGTCCAAGTAAAAGATAACACCATGAGCTATAACCTGCGGAAGCCGGCACGGATCGAGGTTGCACGGGCAAAGAGAGTAATCGGAGAGAAGACTTTGGAAATGCGTATAAGGCGTCTTTTTGATAAAATTCTTGCTGTTAACTCTAAAATTCTCGATGCCAGTTCTGTACCTGCCTTTAAATTTCTACTCAAATCTGTGGATCTGTCTTAGTTCTTCACTTGCATTTAAAACTGTTTTTTGTTCGACCAGACTTGAAGTCCCCTTGGGGTTGTCTGCTCTTGTGCCGTAATAATAATAATAATTCTTTAAGTGCGACCTTTTTCTGACATTGTATAAATAACTTTCTATACATTCAGTTTATTACTGACCGTAACATACCCTATACCTGACCACCCCATACCGTAACATGATGGAAAGCAGGGTGTCGTTGCGATTGTTGATTTTGGTTGTTGGCCTGCAACTATTACGGAATTGCGATTGCGGTTGCTTTCACAATGAACTTGTTACATAATATTATAATATTGCAAATATTAATCCATACACAGAACTAATTTCAAAGCTCGTACCACATGACTTCCTTGTGTCTACTTGTACTACGTACATCTGCAGAAATGTTCGCGCTAATACAGAATAGTTTGTAGCAATAAATCATGCAGGCCTTTTTACGAAACAACTTTACGATCTCATTGTCAGCTTTGTAGTATTGCAAGACGTCAGCAAAGGTAGCAGTGTATAAAACGACCTTTAAAATTCGGCACATCTACATCACACGTTATCTGTATACTGAACGGTAAAGGCGTGTTGTCTAGTGGCATTAATTTGTTTCTGTAGTTTCTGTAATAATAATTAAAATCGAAAATATTTTTACAAATGATACGAACACTTGTCCGTTAATTAATAGTACTGCAACCTTGCGAGAGATTGGACAAAGTACCGACCTAAAAACAGCGGGAATATAATGGTAGTGATGTGATTAGCCTGGAACTGTTTTTTACACAATCGGTAATGCACGAAAAAAAATTGAATAAACTTCGGAGACTTTTAAATATTTGAAAAGCCGGGAGGCATATGGGCATTGCTGCCAGTTAGCTGGGCTGATCACAAGAGTCCAAGAGTCTGATAATCCTCTTCGAATATACCGTTTAATCCAGTGGGGGAGCACACTTACAATCTTGCATACATATTATTTATGCTAATACGGTGCTGCTAAGAATTTAAAATATTCATCCAGTTTCGCGAATCCCTGTATTGTATACTAGTGACACTACCCTTTCCAGTACAGTACATACACTGAAATTCTGTCATATACTGAAATTCCATTCATCAGTTATTTAACCTTGGTGACCCTTTTCGGCACCGCGATTTATGGACTGAACTCGTTTCTGCGCAGACTTTTCCTTAAAACTGTACAGAAATCACAAGGTAGACGTAACAAACAAAACAGCCGTCTTAATGCTCCGCTCCTTTTTAGTAATTAAGGGAAGTGGCCCGGTACATGGTACCAAATTCGTGTACGTGCACGAAAACTTTCGCTTTCGCGCACTCCCAAACACATTTTTGTTTCGGTTTATGACGTTTTGTAGCCAGAAGATTTGTATACACTGGCGTAAAAACCGTTTGTGCGCGCAACATCCGGTTCGGGAGTTATGGCTGTTAAAAAATTCCAAAAAGTGTAAATGCATTCAGGTGTACCAAAAGTCTCATTATGGACCGATCTCCCTCAAATTTTGCACGTAAATGCGCATGTCTATGAAGATCGTTTTTACACCGATCCAGACTTCCATGATTTTTTTCAAATTTTAAAATGAATTTTAAAATTTTTGAAATTCATTTTAAAATTTGTAAAACATGCTAGAACAGTGGATCGGTGTAAAAACGTTCTTCGTGGTTACGTGCATTTACGTGCAAAATTTGAAGGAGATCGGTCCATAATGAGACTTTTGGTACACCTGAACGCATTTAAACTTTTTGGAATTTTCTAACAGCCATAGCTTCCGAACCGGATGTTGCGCGCACAAACGGTTTTCACGCCAGTGTATGCAAATCTTCTGGCTACAAAACGTCAGAAACCGAAACAAAAATGTGTTTGGGAGTGCGCGAAAGCGAAAGTTTGTGTGCATGTACACGAATTCGGTACTATGTACCGGCCCACTTCCCTTAAGTGTACCGTTGATGGTTCCGGTTCCTGGGCAGTTATGCTAATCGGATATCCCAGCGATAGGAAGAACAGTTATAACGTTATAATCCGCATGTCCATTCTCAGTTTTCATCAACAGTGTCAGAGTGTTGTGCGTAGTGCACAGGATATTGGCGTGTTCGCCTCACCATTACTGGATCGGCTCACCATTTGCCATTCTGCGCACATGCTAAAGCATGTTTTGCCATTCGAGTGCCAGCCTAGGAACCGTTAACATCGTTTCCTAGCTTTCTATGGTTTCATGCCCTTTTCTCGCCTTAGATTTGTTTCTGATGTCCTTTTCTAGACTTTATTTCTGTGAAATAAAGTGATCTTTTCGAGGAGTCGTGTTTTCGTTGTGTTTTCTCTATGCAGCGCGAGCGCTTCTCCGAGAACAGTCTTCGCTGTAATCCTCATAACACAATATTGTCGCCCCAAACGCAACACTAATCCCTGAATTACGGATCGGCTTCAGTTAATTTTTCCCTAATCCCATTTGACAACCGTTTTCCACTCCACTGAAAGACTGTTTACGCCACAGCAGTTAGGAAAAACAAACCAATGCTTGCGGTTTGCGATCATTAGGCGGGACAAACTGTTTAGAAATAGAAGAGCACTTTCCAAAAAAGCCGACTAGATGAATCCCGTTGCGGAAAACATCATGTCCTCGGGTTCTTGGACTGCACGTGCACCGTCATACAAACGGAGAAGCTCCAGCATCTGCGCGTGTTGGGCGCGTTGCCGTCCGACTTCCAGCGCCGGCGCACTTGTTGCACGTATCCATGCACCGTATTTTCACGTCTGGAGGAAGCTGTATGTAAAGCTGTTCTTACCGAGTAGCATCATTGGAATTTAGTATAATGGAAAATTAGATTAAAATTAGAATTTATTGGGATGGAAAAGAGCAGAATTGCTTACTCAGTTCTCTTTTCCAAGTTTTCTTCTGCGTATGACACCGCGCCGTTTTCTGGTTGGATTGTATGATCAACCCGATTCATCCGTCAGTTTTTTTTCTTTGTTTCTGATTGTTATGGCTTCGGGATGCTCGGCATAGTTACCCAAAGGAATTAAAGTTCCGAGCCTACCTTCGGTTACTCGCGTGGCGTGTAGGAGTAATTAGTAAGCCTGCATATGGTACAGACCTCTGCATGGCACGCTGTAAATTGTATATAAAGTGTACAGATTCAATCGACTTAACTGTAATTATCATGTAATAGTGATCAATTTCGGCAGCAATTCAGAACTTTATCTTTCAAATCAATGTATACACCATGCTAGAATACGAGTACATGACTACCTACTAGCATTCTTTTCGAAGCCTAAAGGTATTGATCATACATGCGTTCTCTGTGACTGCCAAAACAACAATAACAAGCGTCAAATATAAGCAGGCCGTTAGTATCTGCTGCATGACTGCCGCGTACGTATCCCTTATCTATGCACAAGCAATGACTAACAGCAAAAAATTGAAAACAACACCAGCCATTAATAATCGATACATATGATGGGAAAACGTGATAACTGAGAGAGGGATGAATCGCGTCTTGTATGTTTATCTGAATTTCATTTGCAAATGCATACAAAATATCATCCTGCAGGCCGTTCTAATTAAGTACACGGAGCTAGCAAGCAATCATGAACGCCAGACAAGCTGCAATTAAGGCTGCCGAAGATGCAATGGTCAAAGTGATTAATATTAATCACTTTGCAATGGTTGTGGCAGCCGTGGAAGAATTATTGAATTCTTCTTCTGACAGCAGCGCATTTCTATCATCCGAACAAGAAGTGGACGATGAAGACAAAGAGTATTCTTGGAGGGTTGTTTAAAAGTTCATTAATTGGTACAAATTTAGAATTATTTCTGATGGTTACTACGACTAAATCGTACAACGACAGGATGCTGTGAGATGACTTAACGAGACCGTGGCAGTTGAAGAAATAAGCGCCAAAAATGTCCGCTAGAATGCAAGTCGATGCCTGATATTGGCCATGAATGTGTGTATGATTTATAAAACCGAGCTCTTTAGCTCGGTTTTATAATTCAGCTGTGTATCTGCTATTTGGCCAATGGTGGCGTTGTTATGATTCAGTTTTTTGTGACTCAGAATCAGTGCATGATAGCCCGCGCACCGGAGCGTTTTTGGCCTAGATATTGCCGGCAGACGTGTCTTCATACGTGCATATTTGACACTCAACAATATCAGATATATTCTCCGGACACTGCAACCGTTTGAAATCACAATGGTGTAGAAACAAACATCTTTTTTAGGCTAACACCGTTCCGTTAGTTTTTTAAAAGTTATTCTTAGGTGCGACCTTTTTCTGACATTGTATGAATAACTACTATTATATTCAATTTACCACCGAAAGCGCAGATCAGCCCCAATACACTATACAGTAAAATGATGGAAAGCAGGGTGTCGTTGCGACTGTTGGTTTTGCTAGTCAGCCTGCAACTATCAAGGAACTGCGCTGTAGGTCAGTGATGAACACATGTACCTATACAGTATTTTGAATTTACTGTATATACGTTACCTATATATATGTTACATATATGCTACTGGTAATAATATACTACTCGTAATATGCGACGAAATTTGAATGTTGTCAGCATGTTATACACATTTTTCCGCAGCTGAAGGGGACTTCCCCGTATTTGAGGGGCGGCCCATAAGCGAAGCAGAATGCAATAATCTACCCAAAAACAACTGCTGGAAAGGAATGGAGAATTGTCGTGAATCGTTTGCAAAAATGAAGAGAGTGAATGGGAGTGTTATGGCGTTAGAGTGCTACGGGAATGCAACTGATCGGGTAAGGCATATCCATCAAAACTTAATGGAATTCCAAAGATGGAAATGTCCTACCATGGCTTTCAAAGTGCCTAGTGAATAGGTTACTAGGTATTACTAGGCATAAAGATAGCTGAAAGTAATTCGTATTACAAAGTACACTGCGTTTCGATTTGAAGTACGAAATACAATAGATACCATTGCATTAATGCGGTGTCTATCTAAAAGTATAGCACATTCTGGATGTATGACTGCAAAAATGGTTAAATAATGCCTTTCCCAGTAGGACTGAGACTTTTTGGAAGTACAATTTGCTATCTACGTAAGTACAATTATGTATGTTGCAATGTTGGTAGCCAAAGAACTTGTCATGTGCAGCAGTTGCTTCGTTAGCGGATTTACTAGTCTTGACATCTGCAGTAGTTTAAAAATTAATGCCAGTATGTACTCCTTATTTACAATATTTAAATTATTACTCTAGACCATAGACACTACAAAGACTTACGACCTTTGGTAATTTTACAGGAGCTTCTGGAGACAACCACAAGCATTTCCCGAACCAGCCCAACTCGTGCAGTTAAAGTGTTCTACAGCGAAAAATCCGCTTCTTACAAACTGTCTCCAGAAGCTGTTACACCCATTAAGAAGCAAATCATTGAGTTGCATGTTATGAATTGCAAAGACCAGTCCAGCACATCGCGCATTGGGACGCTACCTTTATCGAACCTGCTGCATTTATACTTTTTAACCTGCAAGAACTTGATTGTTAAAAAGACCGACTTTGCACCTTTTAAACAGATTCGAATCCTAGATTTCTTCCTGACATCCATCGCATCCATCGAGCCAAATACGTTTACAGACCTCCCTCAGCTGAAGTCGCTCTTATTGGAGGATCGACTTGCTTGGTTTCCGCCGAGTGTAGAAGATACGCCAGAATCACAAACAGAGATAGTGGCAATCCGCAAGATCCACTGTGACTGCGACTATGCCTGGCTGCGCAACTGGTTGGATGCCAATCCGCACCTGCTCGGCGATCGGGACGAAGGCGAGTTGTACATCATCGGCAATCATCTGAGTAAACGCGTGTTCAGATCGACAGCTTTCTATCCCGTTGATTGCGCCTTGCCGACATTGTTCATCGAGAGAGAGGACTACCAAGACAACACCGACCTCAAGTTTGCTATTAACGCTGCATGCAAATAACCTCTTTCTGTGCTGGCGTCTGGGGTACGTTAGATTTGACTCTTCCCTATGTTACAGTAATATAAAAAACCCTAATAATGTGATTTTTCCATACCATAATTCGTTACCAAAAGAAAGGGTTGCTAGCCAGCCATATAAAGCGAATTTGCAGTACACTGTTAGAGAAGCCAGGGTATTTGGCGGCGATATTTCTGACGAGTGCAAAAATGACTACGGAGTACAGAATCTACAGATGCGCCCGGTGTGTATTTGCTTAGTGTAATCATACATGGATCTGGGTGCAAGATCACAATGTCACATCAGCAAAATATTTTCAACTTCTGACAATCACGGAAAACAGTTACTGAAAAAGCAGGTTAATAATTATACTGTATCCAAATTCCAGCTAAATTCAAGCTCCAGGAATGCACATAGAGAAGGTGCTAAGCGGGAGCTCCGATGAGCTTACCAAGTACGAGTAGACTTTGCGCAAACAGTTATTAGGCTTCTTCGAAGAAGTTATCGGTAACTTAGGACGCTCTACGGTTAGAAGGAACACAGGTTAGTAGAACAGTACTGTGTCTCTCCATAAAGTGCTAACAATCGGTAGTTCACAATTATCGAAGGAAGACATAAGCAAAAGCGTGGTGAAGATGATTCTGTTGTCGGATAGCAAAGGTGATAAACAAACTGTTGTTGTCAATACTCAAACAGAAAAAGGGCAGGTGCCGCTCCTGTAAGAAGATTTAGTTATGTTCGGATGGTGCTGTAACTATAGTCTATAGCATCTCAGTTGACCGACTTAGTGAAAACACTTTATTCAGGATGTATGTATTAACTTAAGCAATCTCTCCAACGAATGGCAGTCTTATGGTTAGTTAGATTTTACTGAGATTTCTGCATTCAATGCTCTAAAAGATAACATCTCCCGAAACCGTAAAACTACGCTTTTTTACAGGAATGATTTTGATATCGGGATGGCCAACCAAAACCTACAGAATCTGTAAGTACATCCTTGCTGATCTTCCCTTTAAAGAATAAGCAAATTCTACGCATAAAAGGTTAACGTCACAGAAGACAGTTTGGCTCACTTTTTATCATTACAAGAGAACACGTTGCGCAGCACTTACGCCTTTTGCAAAGGACAATAATGTTATTATTTCTACGAGTTATATTGTTATCTTTCACCCCTGGGCTAAGCTACAAATGTTTAGAAATGACGAATATGCGGATCGCTAGAGGATGTGAATCGGATATGCTTGTGATACGAAGGCTACGTGATGCTACCCAGTAAGATGATATTATCGGAATTAACTATGTAGCTGCGCGAATAACTGGTTTAACTGGTTCGCACCGCATTGGACTACAAAATTATCAAGACTGTTGTTTTGCTGATTATATCACAGTGGTACTGAGTTTATTAGGAAGAAAAACAATCGCCGAATCAAAATAAAATTCTCGACGCCGAAACGTTTGCTGGGTCTACCGCGGTGTGCTCGTTGATTATAACGTGGTATATCGTTCGGCATGGCAAGTCCGGCGTTCAGCCAGCTTTTAGACACCAACATCGCCCAGCTCTACAACGCGGCTACCGCAGCGAAACCTGATGGAAACCTGGCAGTGTCCCCGTTGTCCATATTATACGCCAGCGTGCTGATGTACATTGGCTCCTCTGGATCCACCAAATCTAATTTGGACAAGAGCTTCCATTTTGACCAGTATTTCAACAGCCGACTCCGTTCTCTCCGTCTTCTCGACGTCCATGGTCAATTTTACCTCCGTTAAAACCGGTGGTGATCCCTTTGTTATCAACCTGGCGAATGGAGTGTTCGTGCAAAAAGGCGTACCCTTCGTTAACAAATTCAAAGACGCCGTTGTTTCGAAACTGAAATCGGAGGCGCAGACAGAGGACTTCAGAACCGACGCCGAGAAGGCCCGGGGAGATATTAACACGTGGGTGTCAGACAAGACTATAACGGGCGCATTCAAGATCTGTTGCCGGAAAATAGTGTCTCAATAAATACCACTGCGGTGCTGGCCAACGCCCTGTACTAGTACGTGTTTTTATTCGGCTTCGGCCAGCATACATAATAAATCGCCTGCGCAGGTTTACACTAATTAAAAGCATCAAATTTTTAAACATTAAAAAAACATCCAAAATCGTTAGTGTCACGCATGATCTTGGGACGTGCGTTAAGTGAACCCAAAACAGCTGCTGCATTTCCACGGACTACCGCTAGACTGAAACGTTGTCTTAAAAAGGCGGTAGACCGAGGTTCTCCGGTAACTTCACGAATCTTTCTGCCGACGAAACGGATCAGCTCGGCGAAAGGCGTTCCGAAAGTCCCGAACGTCTCGACTGCCAGCGGGTAAAACAGAAAACCCATATCTTCGATAAAATCGTACGTCCGACGCTTGCTTGCTTCCGCCATTTGTGCTACACTTCCCGCTTTCTTCGAGCTAGCATGCACATGAGATACAGCCACCGTGTCCCAGCATGTCGCGTCCCATACAAGCGCCTTACCATCGCGCACCGGAATCAACGTCATGCCGTCCGGCCGCTTGTTGTTGCGTGCAGACAATCCCAACGGTTCGTTTTGACAAGGATAACCCGCAATTTCTAGTCCTCGCTTGACCTCATTGTTTAACTCGACATGCCGCGACCATCTGCCTTTGCTGCTTGAACAGGACAAACCATGGTGACCGTTCGTTTCCACTCGGCTTCCGCAGTTTACGCAATCGTGTTCCTCGACTACGGGTAGACCAAATCGAAGGGCGACGCCGATTCTCACTTCTTCGTCCCGCAGGAAAGTATGCAGATTTGGTTGCTGGGAGAGCATTCAACCAAGCGCCGGAGTCGCGCTGAAAAGCGGCCAACAGTACTGCTTTATCCGTTTCGCTCGTAGCGGCTGTCGTCAGCGAGGACACGATGCCGTCTATCGTCGGTCGATCCCATGTCCACTGAAACTTCCTGCTCTCTTCAGCTGGAGGTTCGCATTTTGTCTGTTCAGACCACTGCTGTATAACAGGATCCAGAAGATCTGCCGTGGCGGGTTGGTAAATTTCTGAAACCAACGAAACCACTGAATGCGCCGATGCCAAAAAGGCAGGAAAAACTAGCGATTTAGTGGTCCGCAGTCCCAGTCCTCCATCCCTGACAGGCAGAGTCATTTGGCTCCACTGAAGATCGTTGGCACGTACGTTCAAGATGGACTGCATGCCCTGTACTTCAAAGCCGCCCTGTACTTCAAAGCCAGCTGGGCAGACTATGCCAAATTTGATTCCGGAGACACACACACGGACACCTTCACGTTTCTTAACGGGCAGACAACCTGGGTGAGCATGATGCAAAAGACTGTTTCTCATCTGGCGTATGGCGAAGACTCTACTCTGGATGCGAAATACATCGAGTACCCTTATACCAATAACCTCGGCGCACTGTTGATTCTCTTGCCCAACAAGAAGGACGGACTACGCGCGCTGGAAAGAAACCGACGGCCGGAATTTTCGGCACTCTGCAGAAGAAAACCACAGAAGAGATAGTGGCGGTCAAGATTCCCCGGTTTAGAATGGAAGCCACTTTAAATCTCAAGGCTATGTTGCAGACCATTGGCGTCAAGGATGCTTTTGATCAGAACACTGCCGATTTCTCTAAAATGACTGCACAGAAGCCGGTGTGGTTTAGCGATGCATTCCATCAAACATTTGTCGGTACGAGAGCAGTTATGCTTTTGAGAAACCGATTAAGGACAGAGGATTACGTAACGTAATGGAATTTGATGATTAATCCAGTTACTAATTTCGCCTTTGTCGTGTATTACTAGTACGCTTCGCCTATTTATGACGGTTTGCTTTACGCTACTTTGCTAATAAACTTACTGCTAAGCAGGTGACCTTTGGTCCATACTTATTTAGCTCTACCTAATATTTAGGTAGCAAGTAATAAATTTTACTTGACTGGAATCCGATTTTTACTTTCGTAATTGTTGCTTATTAACGTTTGCTTGGTTTTTGTTTGGCAGAAGTTGATGAGGAAGGAACGGAAGCCGTGGCAGCCAGTGCTCTCTCTGAAATGCTAGTGACGGCATCTGAGCCCCAAGACCCAACGAAAGAGTTCATCGTCGATCATCCGTTCATCTTTGCCATCCGCCACAATCCAACCAGTGCCATACTTTTCCTTGGTCGCGTGGAAACCTTTTAGCTTGCGTATGCACAGTCCGCTCGACAGTGTTTTTTCCCAAGCTTACTTTAACGCTGACCTAGTATACAATAATGCTTGATTAAATATTCAACCGCTGCAGAGCTCTCGAAATTAACTTCACAGCTCAATTGCGGCGATTGTTACGCTCTCTCAACAGTAAACAATCCCAGCGTAGACAAGCACCGTATAACAGATAACAGCTCGGCAGCAGTGCGGCATCCATGATCAGCACACCGATGATGTGAACAGTAAACGTCCATAACGCACGCGGCTGCCGGTATCGGCGATATTGTTAACAATATGTATATTGTCCAAATATTACGCATGCCACACATTCATTGACCAGTTAGTTAACACTCGCTCAATTGTCATGTCGCCAGCCGGCCGCCCCAAACAATGCCGGTGAACGCGAGCGCCTGCACCGATTAGCACCGCCGTGACCACATGATGTCGACGGTCAAGCGCATAATGGCCGATTTGTCTTGTTAATAAGATGGACTAGCCTATTGTTCTGGCGGCGGTATTAGTGCTGCGTATGCGTCAAGTGTACATATTGGGCCATAAAATCAGCGGTAGGTAAAACACCACCGGCCACTTGGTTGATTAGTGACGGACATAATGACCACGACGGATAGTGTGTTGTTGTTGCTGTTCGTCTGCTAGCGTGTTCGCCTGCATTTTCGTTGATTAGACGCTTTTGTTAATTGTGTCTGTTTTGAGGAAATTGTTCAGATTCAGCAACAATGTTTAAAGTTGTGCTGGGATTTTTGCCCTTGATATCCCCATTATGGGCCGATGTGCGTAGCAATAGCAATGCTACCAACGCACAGCAACCAGCTGTAATAGCCGGGAATTCAGCGGAAGTGGAGCCGATTGTCGCGGCTGCTTCTGGATACGGATACCAAAGGTCGGTGAATATTTTTAGGTACTTAAAAACATAACGTTATTTGCTTTACTTAATAACTGGTGAAATACAAATTTAGATCTATATCAAGCAATATTATTTTCTGCTTAATTTTTGAAAAATTTTAACTGCATACTGTAAGTATACAAATTCAGTTCCATCTTCCGGTTCTGGAAGTTTAGCATAGAGGCGTATTAGTTGCCATCGTGCGATATTTAAATTTTCATCTGCCATATCTTACGTTGTATGTAATGCAAAATCATTACTGTGATTTCTTTATTGCTACGATTGTTTTTAGTAAGCCATACAGCAGTTATTATGGCTCATCGTATTCTGGCGGACTGTATTCGGATAGCCAGTATGGTGGTGGATGTTACGGAAAACCCGTGGGTTATCGCGGTGATCCATCGTACGACTGTAAAGTGTTCGATGTCTGCCAATCAGACGGACGGTTTGATCGATTTTATTGTCCGGATTACACCAGATTTAATAACTACTTATCAATCTGCGATTGGGCAGACAAGGTAAGCGGATAATAAACAATACAGTGTGCCAATATGCCATAAGCACGATGTATCACAGAAGTACTAGCACGTACATCATGATTATTAATTAATTGTAATCATGGTTTTAATATTATTCAAATTTAATACATACTGTACGTTTGTAGACTACAGACGTGCATAGCAGTATCGTAGACCATGAGCGTTATAACGTGTAACCCAATGTGGCAGCTTAATACTTGCGTCCGCTAACAATATCTGTAAGCATGCGGTATCAGCAAGAGTAGAATGAAATTAATAATAAAACAATTACGCATTATATTATATTATTGCAGTAAAACAATACAGATGTTCTGAAAACGATTCGTAACAGCTGCAAAGCGTGCTTTGCGTTTTATCCAGGTTGACAGTTATTGCAATCCGATTTACCCGTATAACAACGATGACTACTCGTACGGATATGAAACCCGCTACAACGGTTACGAGAAGCCCAAATACGGAAGTTCCTACAAACCGTCGTATGAGCCACCCCAGTATTATCTGCCCAAATTCGAATATCCAAAGTACGAGCCGGTTTACGCTTACAAGGAACCCCGCCAAAGTTCCTACGGAGAATACAACAGCCCGCCCAAATATGAGCACCGTTATGCGGACTATCACAAAGAATCCTACGCGCCGGTGGACTATGGGAAGTACACTGATAACACGTACAGCGCCGAGTACAAGGTTGGATATGACAAAGTGTACGAGCCTACGTACGATTCACCGTACGTACCAAACTTCTTGACGAAGAAGTATTAAAATAATGACTTCTTTTACGTGTGGGTATACATGTTGTGGAATTGAAAGAAAGATTGGGTATCGGATGTTCAGTATTTCCAAATTGCACCGGAATTGGTGTTTGTTTTCAAGTGCAGATAATTTATTTTAATTTAAATGATGGTTTTTAGACTTTAAGGGGATGTTGCTCATTTGATCGTGTTGTAAGCGGAAGCAGAAATGTCCAACATTAAATTTTCCTTATTCAACGAAATAAAAATGCGAGTTTCCAATAAAAATCCTGCGATGTATTATTTAGTTGAATAAGTATGTAAAGAGTGACGTCGAGAATCGAGATGTCTTTATTTACTTTCACGCATTTGGTGATCCGATCCCATTCTGTCAGGAAATGTAAAGTAGCGTTTAAAGTAATCACTACTTAGCATTATCATGAAGTACTGTTAAACAAAGTCAAGGTAGTCACTAGTTGTACTTCCGGTTGTACACTGGGCCCAGCAACCAGTTTACAATTTCTCAACTCGGCCAATGAAAAGTATGGCGTTGGTTGGATTGTGGCGAATGGCAAAGATGAAGGGATGGTCTGCGATGAAATCTTTGGGTGGCGCTTGTTTGGGAGCAAACGGAGATGCCCCAGCCATCATCACGAAGGCGCTGGCAGCGGCAGCTTCTGTGCCTTTTTCGTCGATTTCTGCAAATGCACAATTGTATTATAAGCAGAACAACAGGATGAATTAGATGTACATGTGCGGTTTGCTAGTAGACATATAAAGAATCAGATGGAACTGACAACTTGCATCACACATAATTGATAATAATTACACCATCATTACTATGTAGTATTTGTACGTGCATAATAAGTATAGATATTAGCATAGAACTACACTTGCTCCTATAGGAGTAGAATAATTACGTGTAAGTACTGGATCATAAACCGGCAGTTACCGGCTTCCGTTTTTTACGTGCACTCGAATCAACCATACGCACTCGTACATCATGATTGCATGATTATACAGAAATTAAGTACTAGTACCTACTAGCTACAGGCTACACATAAATGTACGCGTATAGGTTGTATTAAACATGTACCTACCAACAAAGGTTTTATGGAAAGCGTCGCCGATCCACACCTTCTGTGGTGTCATGTTGGAGAAATCGGCACTGCTCTTCTCGAAAGCCTCCTTCACGCCAATCTTCTGCAGCATGGATTTCAGATTCAAGTCCGCTTCGACTTTGAACTTGGGAATCTGCAGGTTCACTCGTTCGCTCTTGACTTTTTTCTTTAGATTACCGAAAACATTCGCCGTTAATTTTTTTTCCAAGGCGCGCAGTCCATCTTTCTTGTTGGGGAGAATAAAGAGCATCGCGCCCTGGTTATTAGTGTAGGTATATTCGATATATTTGGCGTCCAGATCAGCATCCTCCGCGTAGTTCAGACCGTGAAGGAAATTCGACATGGTGTCCACTTGGACTGTTTGGCCATTCAGCAGGGTGAAGTCTCGTTTCTTGGTGTCATGAGGATTGAATTTCAGCGACGATTCCCAGCTTGCTTTGAAATACAGGGCGTTGGCCAACACCGCAACGGTATCCGGTGAAACAGCGCCACTTGGCAGCAGGTCTTTGATCCGCCCATTGGTCGTATCGGACACCCACGTGTTGATTTCACCGCGGGCTTTTTCGGGATTGCTTTGGAAGTCTTTCGTCATCACTTCCGATTGCAGTTGATTTACCGCACCGTTTCTATACTTTTCCGTTAATGGTGCGTTCTGCTTCACGAAAATGGCGTTGGCTAAGTTGAGGACAAATGGCTCATCGCGGCCGGTGGATAGAAAAAATACGGGTGGTTCCAGTTCAATTTCCATCGCGCCATTCTGCGAATTCGGTTTCCTGGGTTTCGGTTTCGGAGTTTTGGACATTGTGAGGTTTGGCATGGCCGTGGAGAAGGCGGAGAGCACGGAGTCGGCATTGCTGTTAAAGAACTGGTCGAAATGGAAGCTCTTGTCTAAATTGGATTTGGTGGATCCGGATGAGCCGATGTACATCAGCGCGCTGGCGTAGAGGATAGACAACGGTGACACTGCCAGATTTCCATCAGGTTTCAGGGCGGTGGCTGCGCTGTACAGCTGGGCGACATTGGTGTCCAACAGCTGGTTAAACGCCAGACCTGGCAGGTTAACGTTGATCGAACGACTTGCCATGTTGGTGGTGCCACGTTGGCAGAAAAGATGTTCGGATGTGAACAAAGTCCCTTTACTGTATGTTGCAGCCGGCTTTATAAGGTGACGCGGCCCTGGTTGTTTTAAGAATTTTATTACAATCCGGCTTTTGTGCCCGCTAGACATTAAAGTGAATGTCGACGCGCCGTTATTAGCAGGAAAATCGCCACATTCGGTAGCCCTATTGTACATAGGCATTTGTTGTTGTATTAATTTTGTACATTAATGCCTGAGTATGAGTCACTAATAACTGGTTTGAGTACGAACCATGCGCACTGAGATTGATAGCTGTATGGGGAAATGATGATAATGTCATTGGAACTCCAATATCATTGTCATTGAATGCATACAACGTGTCTATCGTCTGATGCCGTAATGTACTCGTAACAACATCTTTAGACGATAGGCTTACACCCTCCGAGCAATGGGCACTGGGCGCTGCACTGAGTAAAATATGGCATACGTGGACGATGGAAATGTTTTCTTAACTCAGGAAGCTGGGAAAATTGAATGAAAGGAAATCTAAATCCAGGAAAATAAAAGGAAATGCAGATCCAAATTTTAACTGCGCAGTCAAAGTATAGTTGTATTCGCACAGCTGCTCAATACTTTTAAAGACATCCGTTTCAGCAGATGGATTGCTTAACTTTTGTGAATTCAGTGATGTATTGTAAGCCATCCTTCAGCACGACTGCTTTTACTGTTCAGAAAGAGTACGCGGCTTTTGTGGTCTTGCAGATTTATTAATTTATATTCGCTAGCTACACCGAAGTGTAAAGTACGGCCGATCTCGTGCACGCTAATATGAAAAACGTCCATAACATCACACTTAGTCAGTTACAATATGTATGCAATGTCACGGCAAGTGTTATTTGGAGCGCTTGCATCGAGTAAGTAGGCAACTTCAGCACAGTATCAAGTATGTACAGTAGGTACTTGTACGGCACATACATTTCTTCAAAGCAGTAAAAGGTAAAGTGTTATTATTACTAACAACCTGACACTCAGAAAGGAACAATGGGAGACCCTTTTCTAGGCACCATTTTAAAAACTCTCAACACGGCCAATGAAAAGGATCGCATTGGTTGGATTGTGGCGGATGGCAAAGATGAAAGGATGGTCAGCTGTGAACTCCTTGGGTGGCGCTTGATTGAACGCTGATCCGGCTAACATAACAAAAGCGCTCGCAGCGGCTGCTTCCGTGCCTTTCTCATCGATCTCTGCCAGCCCATAATTTTTTTATCCCTTAAACCAATATGCATTCCTGTGACACTATCTATAGTTCTATACTAGGTAGCACTTAAAATGACTGAAATTTATGTCCATAATTGAATGAAACAATGCATACTATGGTCTTAAAAGCAGAAAAAGTTAAAATACTGGTTCCGGTTACACCGGTGCAGTGCAATTACCGACACATTAATGTTTTATGGAAGGCATCACCAATCCACACCGGCCTGAGCTTCTGCGAGGTCATACCGGAGAAATCCACACTGCGCTGCTCAAAACCTCGTTCACACCAATCTGTTTTAACATATCCTTCAAATTCAGATCCGCTTCTACTTTGAACTTGGGAATTTGCAGTATAACTCGCTCGCCTGTTGCTTTCTTCTGCAGATTACCGAAGACATTCACTGTCAGCTTTTTCTCCAGAGCGCGTAGTCCATTCTTCTATTGGGCAGCAGAAAAAGCATGGCGTCCTGACTGTTAGTGTAACTGTATTCGATATATTTAGCATCCAGGTCGGAATCTTCAGCGTACGGTAATCTGTACGCGGAATTCGACATTGTGTCCACTTGGATGTTCTGTCCATTCAGCAGCGCTAAGTCTCGCTTCTTGGTGTTACTGGGACTAAATTTCAGTGCAGTTTCCCAGCTTGCCTTGAAGTATAAAACGCTGGCCAACACTGCAAAGGAGGACGGTGATACAGCATCTGTTGGCAGCAGGTCTTTGATCCGCCCGTTGGTCTTGTCAGACACCCAGGTGTTGATTTCCCCGCGGGCTTTTTCGGCGTTGACTCTAAAGTCTTTAAACTCGGCTTCCGATTTCAGCTGGTTAACCGCGCTTGACGAAGGATGCGCCTTTTTGTAAATACACGCCGTTAATCAGGTTAATGACAAACGGATCATCCCTCCTGGGCGTTTTAACCGACGTAAAATTGGCCATGGAGGTGGAGAATGCGGAGAGTACGGAGGCATTATTCATAAAATACTGGTCGAAATGGACGCTTTTGTCCGAATTGGACTTGGTTGATCCGGATGAACCAATGTAGATCAGCGCGCTTGCGTACAGGATGGACAAAGGGGAGACTGCCAGATTCCCATCGGGTTTCAGGGCGGTGGTCGCGCTGTACAGCTTGGCGACTTTGGTGTCCAAGAGCTGCTTAAAAGCTGGATTTGCCGTTTTATACACGCTTGAAGCATTGTTATCTGTAGAAAATTTATCGGCCCGCGACGTCTTTGCCACACTTTACAGACGATTATATGGCAAATTTTTGCGGTTCAGCGATAATAATCGCATAGCCGGCTTCATTATGCAGTTATCGATTTCTATGCTAGTGAGTTTGTGTAGAATAGCATGAATGCAGTGTACGGCGTAATGCACTTGTACTCTGGGCGGAAGTGTCGGAAAGGTCATCAAAACAAGGGTCGTCTAAAGGGTTTTTGCTGATAGACTAACCGGTTGTTAACGGGCGTAAAGCCTTCTAGAATACAGCAGTTTACTCTGTATGAGAAATTACACGAAGATAGCTATCATGCTGCACAATCTCCACTTTTTATCATAACCGTTTTGAGTTCGCTACATGTACTACGAGTAACAGCGTATAGCAACTACCCTAGTTGAAAAACAGCAGCCCTGGATTTTGTCGCCTCAGTATTACAGTATCTGCCCAAACTCGAATATCCCAGGTACGAGCCGGTTCACGCTTATTAAGAGCCCCGACGAAACTCTTACGGAGAATACAACAGCCCGCCCAAAATATGGGCACCGTTATGCGGACTATTTCAGGGAATCCTACGCTCCAGTGGACTACGGAAAATACACGGATGACACGTACAGCGCCGAATACAAAGTTGGATATGACAAGGTCCACGAGCCGACGTACGATTCGCTTTACGTACCACATTTCTTAACGAAAAGTATTAAGTTAATTACTAAGATACTTCTTCGACGTACGGGTTCACATGTCTCCGGAGTGGAACGATAGATTTGGTATGGGTGTGCAGTATTTGCCAATTGCACAGGAGTGCTGATTGTTTTCACGCGCAGATAATTTATTTTAATTTAAACGATGGGTTTAGACATTTAGCTTATGTTGTTCATTTGATCGTGTTGTTAACGGAAAAAAAATGTCCAACATTAAATATTCCTTATTCAGAGAAATAACGGATGTGAGTTTCCAGTAAAAATCCTTTGATATTATGACGTCGTATAGTTTAAGTAATCAAAGGCTGACGTCGAGACTTCCTTATTTACTTTCACGTATTTGGCGCTCCGCTCCCATTATACCAGGGTACTTATGTAAAGTAGCGAGTTGTTATGTACTTACTACTCACAATCAGCATTATCTTGATGTAATACGTTAAGCAAAGTCAAGGTAGTAATACTTTCGGTTATACATCGGGCCCCACAACCAGTTTACAATTTCTCAACACGGCCAATGAAAAGTATGGCGTTGGTTGGATTGTGGCGAATGGCAAAGATGAAGGGGTGGTCAGCGATGAATTCTTTGGGCGACGCTTGTTTGGGAGCAAATCGAGATGCTCCAACCCACATTACGAAGGCGCTGGCAGCGGCAGCTTCTGTGCCTTTCTCGTCGATTTCTGCAAGTCCACAATCGTATTAAAGTAATAAGCAAAACCAAATGAACTGTTACTGGCTGGTTCATTTTCAGTTTGTTAGTCGATAATAAACAGAATCGCAGTTATAACAGGAACACATCATACGTCATTACAACACCATTAATTTTGTTAATGTAGTACGTACCAGTACATACTGTACTATGCCATGCTAGCAACAGAAATACTAAGTATACGAATAGAATAATTAGTACAGACAATGTATTGAATGTCAATTCGGCTTCCGTGTATTACGTGCACTCAAATCATACAGAATTGTTATTATGTATCTTATTATGTTACGTGCTGTGAGTGCAGATTTTTGCGCAGTCCAATCTCATGTTAATTGGGACAAATTCTTCATTTGAGTATTCCCGTTGAGCGAAGCTCGCCAATGTTCATTATGTATATTATGTTACATAATTATTATGTATCTATTGCGTGTCTTATGGTTATATCATTAGGTACTACAAATTACAGTATATAGACTGTGCCTACCAACAAATGTTTTATGGAAAGCATCGCCAATCCAAACCGGCTTCTGTGGTGTCATGTTGGAGAAATCAGCACTACTCTTGTCGAAAGCGTCCTTCACGCCAATCTTTTGCAGCATAGACTTCAGATTCAAATCCGCTTCTACTTTAAACTTGGGAATTTGCACGCTAACTCGTTCTCCCTTGACTTTTTTCTTCAGATTACCGAAAACATTCGCCGTTAATTTTTTTTCCAAGGTGCGCAGTCCATCTTTCTTGTTGGGGAGAATAAAGAGCATCGCGCCTTGGTTGTCAGTGTAGGTATATTCGATATATTTGGAGTCCAGGTCACCATCCTCCGCATACGCCAGATTGTGAAGAAAATTCGACATGGTATCCACTTGGATGGTCTGTCCGTTTAGCGGGGTAAAGTCTCGCTTCTCCGTATTTCGAGGGTTGAATTTCAGCGATGATTCCCAGCTTGCCTTGAAATACAGGGCGTTGGCCAGCACCGCAACGGTAGCCGCTGAGACAGCACTTTGCGGCAGCAGGTCTTTGATCCGCCCATTGGTCATATCTGACACCCAGGTGTTGATTTCGCCGCGGGCTTTTTCGGGATTGCTTTGGAAGTCTTTCGTCGTCACTTCCGATTGTAGTTGATTAACTGCACTGTTCCTAAACTTCTCCATCAGTGGTGCGTCCTGCTTGACGAAAATGACATTGGCTAGATTGAGGATAAATGGTTCGTCGCGGTCGGTGGACAGGAACATTACGGGTGGTTCTAATTCGATTTCCATCGCGCCATTCTGCACCTTCGGTTTGCTGGGTTTCGGTTTTGGAGGGTTGGACATTGTCAGGTTTGGCATGGCCTTGGAGAATGCGGAGAGTACGGAGTCGGCACTGCTGTTGAAGTACTGGTCGAAATGGAAACTCTTGTCTAAATTGGATTTGGTGGATCCGGATGAACCGATGTATATCAGTGCACTGGCGTACAGGATTGACAAAGGAGACACTACCAGGTTTCCGTCAGGTTTCTGGGCGGTGGCCGCGCTGTACAGCTGGGCAACGTTAGTGTCCAGGAGCTGGTTAAACGCCAGACTTGGCATGTTAACGCTGATCGAACGACTTGCCATGTTGATTGTACCACGTTGGAAGAAAATATGTTCGAACAAAATTTCTTTCCTGCACTGTATGTTGCAGCCGGCTTTATATGATGGAGCGGCCCTGGTAGTTTTAATAATGTTTTTATTACATTCAGGCTTTTGTGCCCGCTGGACATTAAAGTGAATGCTGATGCACCGTTACCAGCAGGAAAATCGCCACATTCGGTCGCCCAATATTATACTGTACAAGAAACAGCTGCGGCTTCGCCTCCGCGTTTCCCGTGATCCACGGCCCGAATCAACGAATAGCTCGGTTATACATTCACGTAGCGATCTTAATCACTGGATAGTGGTGGTAGCTCGGTCACTTACTGAGTCAATTAGCGATTTTGCTCATTGGACAATAGTGGTATCTCGGTAACTCAATCGCTCAGCTAATGATTTTGCTCACTGGACAGTAGTGGTAGTTCGGTAACTCGCTCACTCAACTAACGATTTTGCTGACTAGACAGTAGTGGTATAGCTCGGTAACTCGCTCACTCAGTTAGCGATTTTGCCCATTGGAGAGTAGTGGTAGCTTGCCCATTGGACAGTATAAACTTACAGTACTTACTTATAACGCATTATCCGTATGGCTAAAAACCTACCATTTTTTTTACAAATGGGCCGGCAACGAAGATCAATAAGTTACCTTGTGACTGCTTAATTTTTTGGTTGGTGTTGCAAGAAATAAGTTCAATTTATTCCGCTCGATCTGCGTATTTAATAATGTGTGCTACGAATTGTTTACAGTCAAAATTTTTTTGAGTTTCAAGGTCACCTTGAAACTGGGTTGGATCGTTTGCGGCATTAGCAGACCTCAAGCATATCCAGCTTTACCATTCACAGCCTGGTATTGCTTTAACAATTTTTTTGGTTCGAAGTCCAAAGAGATAAGCAGTAACCAATAACAACACATACCGATGGACTTATGCGAGCGATGTTTGAATGCTACGCTTACTAGTCACGCATCATCGGTAAAATGCATTATAAAAATATAGTTGACTGAAAACTTGTACATTTAGCTTATACACAACAGTTAACATCACAACGCAGTACACTCAATCAGCAGAAAGCAGCCTCGGGAGGTCTAAGAACAGAGAACAACTGATCTAAATTTGCTCCCGGCATTTATCGTAAGACGATTTGCATAAGCGGCACCGGAGACTCGGGGAGCACCGAAGGGATAAGGAATGAGAAATAACAGGAAAATTAATGATACTTAAAGAATTTTGACTAAAAGAACCTCATATTTTTCTTACAAAATAATTGTCGCTTTAAATTTTCTACAGAGAAGCTACGTGGTGCATTGTTCATTGCAAGTATAAGAGGGAAACATTTAGCGTGATGGGTCAAAATGTTTTGGACCGCTCTTCTAAAGAATGTGCTAGGATATTTTTCGAAAAGAAGGTTTCGCCTTTGTCAAAAATTGATTAATCAAGCAGATCAATTAACTAATTAAGCAGATCAGTTGCTAATTAAGTCTCAGTTCATTTTGTGGCGCTGAATTAAACTGGAAACGTTTACCGTTGTTAGCCGATATGGACAGTATTTTTGAATTAATTAGCGTTAATTAGCGCAGTGTAAACTGTAATTGTAATTAACGCAAGCAGAAAAATTACCTAGTAGTCTGATAATACAAATGATGTCTGTAGATTAATTTTTAATTGCTCATTTAGACGCCTAAATATGTACTATTAAAGTGTATGTGCGTAGTAGACTGTTGTTTTCATGGCCTGCGTGCCTGATGGCGTGATGCGTATTTGCAAAACGGAGCTGTTCACGCGGGTATCTGTAAAACGTGCCGTATCTTTCCTTCGACCAGTTAAAAAGCAGATCGGTTCGGAACGTTATGAATCATAATCCTGGCCAAAACAAAACCAGACCAGAGATAAGAAAGCCAGAGGTGACTGAGGACGCGTATTGTGCCGGCACGATTCTGATCGGACGTATTCAAAAGCAAAAGCCATGTGACGCAGTTCTGGACCAGGCCGATCTAACTGTGGTGTCAGATTTTTTTAAAAGTTCTTGGTTAGAGAGATCTCCAGACTATGGGGAGACCGCGCGTAGTATTGATCTTTTTCTTAATATATCTGTATTTGTGTACTATTACTCACAAATAACTGGTATAATAACTGCTTCGAGCACAAACCATGCGTACTGCGCTTGATAGATGTATCATGGTGCTGATAATGTCACTTGTTCGGGTTGTTCCCCAAAATCACTGGCGCTGCAACGTAACATCTCATGCTGCATTATTGCGAAAAAAAGGGGTTTCCCGACGTCACATTTTTACACAGTACCTTATTCCAACAAAATTAATGCAATAAACAACCTTAAACCATGGAAGTGTGGTTTTCGTTTCACCGGTGCTGTGACCTGCACCCTTTGGACATTGGTCACTGCGTTGAGTAAAATATGGCGTAAGCAGACGATGGGAATGTTTTCTGGATTCAGGAAGCTCCGGAATACAAGGAAATATTTCGGAACAAAAGTCTAACGGCGCATACAAAATATAGTTGTACTCGCACAGTTGCTCAGTATTTTTAAAACATCCGTTCAGCAAACGGATTGTTTTACGATTTAGAACTCTGTAACGTATTGTAAGCCATCCTTCAGCAGGACTGCCTTTACTTTTTAGAAAGAGTACACTGCTTTTGTGATCTTGCAAATTTATTTATACTAGCTAACTACGAAATGTTTCGTATGGTCGATCTCGTGCTCATAATTATTTGAAAAGCATCAATAACATCACAGTTACCATACCTATGTACGCATGTCACGGCATGTGTTATTTGGATCACTTGTATTGGACAAATAGGCAACAGTCAGCATAAACAGTACAGTGCTTGGACATGTTCTTCAGTTATGTAATCAAAGGTGACCTGTCATATTACTATTAACCTGAAACTTAGAAAGCAACAATGGGAAACCCTTTTCTAGGCACCATTTTAAAAACTCTCAACACGGCCAATGAAAAGGATCGCATTGGTTGGATTGTGGCGGATGGCAAAGATGAAAGGATGGTCAGCTGTGAACTCCTTGGGTGGCGCTTGATTGAACGCTGACCCGGCTAACATAACAAAAGCGCTCGCAGCGGCTGCTTCCGTGCCTTTCTCATCGATCTCTGCAAGCCCATAATTGTTTATCCTTCAAACCAATACAGGGTGAAATCGCGTGACACTACTCAAAATGATTGAAATTTGAAGTCCACAATTGAATTGCGATTAATTACGATTTGAATTAATCCATTAATTAATCCACAATTTGAATTACGTTTAATTACGATTAAGTCCACAATCGTATTAAATGCATACGCGGCTTAAAAGCAGACACAATTAAAAGACCGGTTCCGGCAAACATCCTGGGTGTCGTGATCGACCAGGTGTACTTACCGACGAATGTTTTATGGAAGGCATCGCCAATCCACACCGGCTTCTGTGAGGTCATACCGGAAAAATCCGCACTGCTCTGCTCAAAAGCCTCCTTCACTCCGATCTTTTTTAACATGTCCTTCAGATTCAGATCCGCTTCTACTTTGAACTTGGGAATTTGTAGTGTGACTCGCTCGCCTGTTGCTTTTTTCTGCAGATTACCGAAGACATTCGCGGTCAGCTTCTTCTCTAAGGCGCGCAGTCCATCCTTCTTATTAGGCAGCAGGAAGAGCATGGCTCCCTGATTGTTAGTGTAACCATATTCGATATATTTTGCATCCAAGTCGGCATCTTCAGCATACGGTAGACGGTAGGCGAAATTTGACATAGTGTCCACTTGGGTGTTCTGTCCATTCAGCAGTCTAAAGTCTCGCTTCTTGGTGTTCATGGGGTTAAATTTCAGTGCAGTTTCCCAACTTGCCTTGAAATACAGGGCGTTGGCCAGTACTGCAATGGAGGATGGTGACACAGCATCTTTTGGCAGGAGGTCTTTGATCCGCCCGTTGGTCTTGTCAGACACCCAGGTGTTGATTTCCCCGCGGGCTTTTTCGGCGTTGACTCTAAAGTCTTTAAACTCGGCTTCCGATTTCAGCTGGTTAACCGCGCCGTCTTTGAACTTGTTAACGAAGGGTGCGCCTTTTTGTAAAAAGACACCACTAACCAGGTTAATGACAAACGGATCGTCCCCCCTGGGCGTTTTAACCGAGGTAAAATTGGCCATGGACGTGGAGAATGCGGAAAGTACGGAGTCGGCATTACTGTTGAAAAACTGATTGAAATGGAAGCTCTTGTCTAAATTGGATTTGGTGGATCCGGATGAGCCAATGTACATCAGCGCGCTGGCGTACAGGATGGACAAGGGGGACACTGCCAGATTTCCATCAGGTTTCAGGGCGGTGGCCGCGCTGTACAGCTGGGCAACGTTGGTGTCCAAAAGCTGGTTAAAAGCTGGGCTTACCATTTTATACAAACTCGGAGAGCTGCTATCAGTAGAAAATTTACCGGTCTTCACTGCCTTGCCACACTTTACAGGCGATTATATGGCAAATTTCAGCGGTTCAGCGATAATAATCGCATATCCGGTTTTATTATGCAGTTAGTCATCGAATTCTATGTTAGCGGGTTTGTGTTTGAAGAGATTGAATGCGGTATACGGCGTAATGTACTCGTACTTTGGGTGGAAGTGTCGGAAAGGTAATCAAAACAAGGATCGTCTAAAGTGTTTTTGCTTATAGACTTACCGGTTGTTAGCGAGCGCAAAGCCTACAGTAGTCTCAGTAGTCTGTACGAAATTACACGAAGATCAGCTATCATGCTGCATAAACTCCAGTTTTTATCATAATCATATCGGGTACAGCAACCAGCAAGAAACCGTCACCCTGGATTTTGACTTACATTCCTTACCATCAATAACAGAGCCGATGTCTGTCCGACAAGATCAATCACCATATAAAACGCTGAATACCCGACTAGACCGAGGCGATTATAATCATCGGAGACTATCAGCAGTTATTAGTTCATCGATAACTCCTTAACAGAAGAATCAGATGCTATTTGCAGAGTTGTTAAGTATGAATTAAATCATACAAAATTATGCCACGATCATGTACCTAATTAGGAACTATTGGGTGTTCTAAAGAGCTGGAAGAGTTGTTTTACTTGTTCTGCTTATCGGAGATTTTAGTTTAAGTGTGAATGGCATTGCTGGTACATAAAAGTTTGAAAGGGTTTGATTAATTAGTCGTACCAAATCACACCGTATACGTATGCTCGTCTAATGTTTAGTATCTTTTTGTATGACCTGCATTTAGGATAAGGCTGTTTTTGGAAATCTCTTTAGGGCTGTCAGCGACAGACATACATTTTGTGTAGTTACGTTGCGGAATTTTTTAATGCAAAACACAGAATTATGAACATAACAACCGAGTTCGAAACTGAATACTACTTCGCTAAACATGTTGAATCTGGCGAATACTTCTATTGGACAAATATACACACTACAAGGTCACAAAATAAGCAGTTGACTATTCAAACGAGATACATGGATGCGAGTGACATTTCTTCCCATCGCCCTTCTTGCAACAATCTTTAAACCGTTTGGAACATTCTGCATCTTTTCCATCCTTTTTCCCTTTGTATTTTTCAACCTTTCCACAATTTGTGGCGGTCTTTTTGTCAGCATGGAATATGTCCTTCGTCCAGCAGTAGAAACATCCATCCATCGCGTCGTCGATTGCAGCGCGCTTGTGCCGCGAAAGCTGTAAATTACAACTTGTTGCACTGATCAATATCATAACCATCAACGATAAGATTAGCTCTCACTGCACCAAAGAGAACAGACTTCTTAACAAAAAACAGTGTAAATCAAATGCGCATACCTCCTCGATAGCCGAAATTTCTTGAACAATTAGGACGAATGCCAAGAGAGCAGCAAATACGCGCTTTGCCATGATATCTACAATATCAAAAACGCTCGCTTGCTTTATTAATGCTGGTGCTGGCCGACGAACTTTTCAAAGGTCAGAGCGAACAAAACTGAAGTTTGCTATCGTGTCAAGTGGAATTATCAACTTAAAGAGTGACAACTTCGAAATGAAGTTTGTACTCGTTTATATCGGCCTCGCGCTAACCGCAAGGCGCAAGGGGTAATTACCGGATTTCTTAGAGTTTATTTTCTTGAAAACAAAGTATTGTTACGTTGTGGTCGCCTGTAATGAAAAGTAAAAACACACTACGAACACAACTGCCCTAAGTCGCCCGGTAATACCTACTGTACTTAATGCACTGAATATATTTCACCGTCAAGCGTGGAATGCCGGTACGTACCAGTCGGTAGGTGTATGAACTTTCTGTTTTCGTTTTGAAAGCGGTTGTACGATTATACTCGTGTTATAGACATTGTAAATATTATTGTGTATCCCACACCAGTGTTTACGTAATATAAATTGTTACAACATTTTGTACTACTTCTTTTTGAAAACAAAGAAGTTTTTAGTGCATTCTGCATATTATTAGTGCATACTGACATGTGGTACAGTGGCAAAGTCACAGTATCACAAACGGATTGCGGCTTGATTTCCTTTCCTGGAGACAAAAAAATAATATTATCACTGTACTGATTACTTACTTCTAGGCGATACGCGTACTTCGCAGCAGACCATTATGAATTACAGCGTTTTCAGAAGTTCGGGTAAAAGCGAAACACTTATCATCGTTCAGAAACGGAAATTTCATGCTACGTAAACGTAACAGTGCTTAAAAACTTAAGGGGGTAGTATCACAGAAATTTTTACAAGAAATCGTTGTAAACTGTGCATACGAAGCAAAGATTTGTTGTTCGTGCAGTGTGAACCGTTTCCTGATACAAATGCTATTATAGTAATATGTCAGGTGCGGAAATCAAGAAATTCAAAAAAGCAAACCCAAGTTTTTTACTGTAAATTTACCATTATCGATTGGTCAGATGTTGCTAGCGACTACACAACTTGGAAACTCGAAGTAGCCGTCGAATCACTCGGATATTTTCAGGCGCTTCCCGCATGGTCACCGAAATCGGGCAGCTGATACACAAGGAAACGGGCGAGATAGGGGCGATCGAGTATTCGCGCTAGCGGTTCAGCATCGAAATCCAACGCGGGAATGCGGACTGTGTCATGGGAACAGCACCAACATCGGCTAATTTAGGTGAGATGTTCTGTATAATTAATTAGGCCGCCTATTTTTGCTGTCGGCTAGGAATGATTAAGTACTAGTACATCTTTACTATGATAGAAAAATTGTGATACCGCCAAATGCCAATTAAAACTTTTGTATACCGCCAGTATAAGTTTACATAAAAACTTTTCATAATAATAAACAACCACCATGCGCTACCATTTAATGCACGCTATCATTATAAGTAAGTAAGTAAGCTAAGTACGCTACCATTTAACCCACGGGTGGATAGAGATTTTGGTTGTTTTTTCAGTGTTTAAAATTTTAACAGTAACGTAGTGTGCCTGCGCTTGCACTTCTTGTTACTTTGACGGCTATTGCCTATTAAAGTGAAAATATAAACAACCATGAAAATCGCATAATAATATTATGCGATTTTCATGGTTGTTTATAATCGCTTTGCGCTACGATCGCGACAACCGGTGCGCTACGACAACCACCGATGTACGAGTAGCTTCGTCACGCCACGACCGCTCGGCGGCGCCTGATTCTGACAGTCTGACAATGGAAATTTGAGCGGTGAAAAATGATGAATTTTTCACAATTGTTGTGTAGCAGTTCTTATAGTTGTGAGTTGTGGTTTTTGGTTTTTTTGCGGGAACTCAACGCGACGACGACGACTGGGTCCTTGATCCCAGGTCCTCAGTGCTCCCGTTAATTCCACGCGCACTGATTGAATGTTTGCGGGAAACTGATTTATATGGTCATCATCTGAACTTGCTAGAAGCTTGATTATGAACTGCACCTTGAACGAGACACCATCCTCTGCAAGCGACAATTTCCTTGACTTTTGCGCCATCGCTCGCTATCTGCAGGATACCATGAGTTCCATCTGACGTTTCAAGGTGCCCGTTGCAAGATTTCCGTCACTTTCGTTCGTGTGCTCTCTGTAAATTATGACTGCAGCGGTGTGAGCAGAGTTCTGCAGGAGCTGTTTTTTTTATCGCTATCAAGCAAAACGCTACAATGGTCCTGCAAGCGATTGTGGAGCAGTTATTAAGACCTTTCGCCGCCGTCAGTGTGAAACAACCGTTCCCTGCTCTAAGTACTCCAGCTCCCGATAATCTCGCTGCTCCCTACTCGAAAGCATCCATTGCGGGGCATCCACCGCCTCATTCTCCTTGTGGCGATAAAACTGATAGTCCACCAACGAAATCCCCGCAAGATGTGTTGCAGCCTGTTCCTCTACAGTATCCACTGCTCGCGAGCCTGCTGAGGAACACTAAGACGGTGATTCCGCCGGTTCTTCCTGAAACTAAGAAGCCACGACCACCTCCCTATCGTCCACGCGTTCGCCGCTCCTCCCGGAAAGTCAGTCAACGAAAGCGTCAGCAGTGCGTGAAAGCGTCCAATCGCTATCGCGAGAAAAAGCGTCGCGAGGAGGTGGAGAGTGTGGAGGAGCACCAGCTGCTGCTGGATTTGCGCGCTGAACTGCTGGAGCGCCGCAAACGCCTGCGGAATAAAATCAAGATGGTCGTGGGGTTGCTGCAGAAGCGTCTGCTGGATGTGCGTTGAATTCCTTCGCTCAGTTCTATGTTTCTATATTGTGGGTGCGTTCATCATCTCGTAAGAACGTTGGACAATAACCGTATTACGTTTTGCTGTTTAAAACTGTCAGTTTATAGGTTTTCATTGCGTAGTTCTTTTATTTACTTCCGTTCGGTGTTACTTGTATATAGATTATAGAGTAGCTGGTAAACCGTAAAATGTGTCAAGAGTGCATGGAGGTTTTTCAAATTGTGATGCCGGTTTGCCGAGTTATTATCGACTGAAATTTGTGTGTGCGTAAAACAGTTGCGACTTTCTCTTTCATCCTCAGTCCTCAGCAAGTTGTTTTTGCATGTAGAATGTGTCTACAGCTTCTGTACTATTTGTGCCTGATTAGGTAATGCAAACTAAACCTGCAAGGTATCTTCACTTAAGTGAAGTGAACTTAGTGAAGATACCTTGAAACCTGTCTACAGAACCTAAACCTGGATAACCTCTGTACAGTTATCCATCATAACTGCAAGTGACGTTAAGGCATTATTACAATCAAATTATATATTGTACAAACTTATTAATTTGTACATTCGTATTTCTATTGATGTTGTCACACAACAAAAAGACCGATTTAGCTCACCGGATTTTATGCAGAACACTGAACATGTAAAAACACACATGAACTTTTAATACACTTATGTAATGACAACAAAAGAACTTTTCGCCAAAAAAACGGACTAGGAAAATGTCAGTTAAATTCGATAACGTCAACCCGAGTGCGTATTTGAACAGTATTTAATACTGACTGAAAGTGTGAAACAAGCTCCACCATGTGGCCGTATCGTAACTGTTAACCACTGCTCTACGACATCTCGATATTTGCTATGTATGTATTATGTATTTGCTATCTGATTCCGCCGGCAGCAGAAAGTCTTAAGCGTCGATGTAAGCGCCATTTTCGTCCTACCGTTTTCCATGTACCCAGAATGGGGCTGAATTCTGTTGTCAATAAAGAAAACGACATAAATTTCATTAGAATCAGTTAAATGACAGGCAACGCCATGAATAATAACACCACATTGTGTTTATTCATATGCTCCAAAAATCGCGAATAAATACCATAATATCAATGTGTTTTTTATTTTTCAACTAATACCAGTATTTCGGAAATCTTTCCCCGCACCGAATATGGCGTTTTATTTCGTTACCATCCCTTGAATAACGTTATTCTCGCAAGTTCATAACAGAGATAATACAAATCTGACGTGTTATAATACTTACAAATAGAATATTAAATATTGCGTACTTCATACCCGATCCAAAGAATGCGCAACATAAACAGGAGAAAATCTCTAACATGACATAAACTCCGGCGTATTACGCCCGTATCTTCGCATAGAACCGCATGCGTCCATCCTCGCCCGCGGTCAGATACGCCGGCTCCGTGGTGGAATGACAGAAGCGCTTGACGGCGCCGTTATGCGCCATGGGAATACTGGCCAGTTTGGCCGCGTTGCGACTGTTCCACACCATCAACTGGCCGGAGAAGCCACTGGGACAGATCACTTGGTCCTCTTCGTGGTTGAACTGCGCCTGCGAGCGGGGTGGGGGCGGGGTGCCCGGCGGCCCGCCCAGGCCGGTGTAGTACATGAGCGGCCGGACGGCGGCCACTTCCCACAGTTTGACGTTCTCGTCTTTCCCGTAGGAAAGGATGTACTTGCCGTTCTTGGAGATGGAGACCGAGTTGATCTCCTGGTTATCGTGCGCGGCCGGGATCGTCTGCATGCAGCGGTTACTCACACCGTCCCATAACTTGATGGCGCCGTCTTTCGAACCGGAACAGTATATCGATCCGTCTACAACAAGAAAAATTAGGATGAGAAGTGCAAAATTAAGCCAGTCATTTAACAACATGCTTAACTCAAGCTTTGCGATATGCTTAGCTAAAGAAACAGCAGACAATTGATGCCAACAATTAGAAAATACATGTCTCAAAATAGGCAGTCAGGAAATTTCGAAAACGCTATAAAACGTGGATGAGCTACGCAAAAGCCTAATATTATATTATTGATAAATCCCGTATTTTTGTTGCGTTCGTTATACATTTTAAAACCGAAGGTCGTGACATGCATGGAAACAATTTTGTACGAGCAAGGATTGCTTCTTCATATTACGATACGAACAAAATTTAAATTCACAAAAAAATATCGACAAAAAAGGCTCCAGTACATTACTGTGAAAGCACATAATATTATCAAGGGTAGGTACCAGTCAACCAGGATGAGCTAAATATTACAGCCGTAACACTACGATAATTCGCAACTTCTGGACGGTCATACCTCGCGCATATGATAAACTGGTGATGGCTTTGGTGTGCTGATCGAGTGGATTGGAGGAGACAAAGGATCGTCCCGTCTCGATATCATACAGCCGCAGCGTGGGATGCATCGTCCCGAAGAGGGCATAACTGCCCGAGGGATGGAACAACACCTCCCGAATCTTCTCCGCCTCGTGGAATATCCTCAAGGCCCGCTTGTAGCCGGATTTCTCAAAGGAGAAGAGGCGCGCCGTGAAGTCGTGGCTGCCGGAGAGCAGCAGCTGCCGGTCGGGATCCGGATGGAAACACACGGAGGCCACGCTGTCCTGGTGGTCTTGGATGATGCGGTATATCACGCTCTACATCCAACAGTACAACATGAATTAAAGATACGCAAACGAAAAACAAACAATGTCAAGTTCTAGGGCAAATGTTTTTTTTTACAGTTTACAGGATCCGCCGACACCGACACGCAAGAGAAAATACGAATATGAGCCCATCATCTACGCTATAACATTAACCATATGCTATTGTCTATCACTACGAGTAAGTACTCAAGCAATTAGGCTGGTTTTTCGCATTTTCAAACATGTTTTTCCAAATGGGGGCACGAAAAGTATAAAGGCGTCCATCTGCAAAATTATCCAGCATGAAGTGATTAACTGACTTTAAAAAATGAGAGCTTCTACTTTACAACAGCATTGTAAAACCGCATTAAATGTCAGGTTGAGGTACATGTACATAATAATCGATGCGTATTAAAATCTAGTAAAATCAAAAATTAGCGCAAACACTGAATTTTAATACCTCAGGGACAATAACGCCCTAAAATAACGCCGAACAAAAATAATATTAACAATTGATAATAGTGTCAGTTTAATGATGCCATTAAAAGGCATTAATGCTAGTTTAAATATTTAATGCTGCCATAAATCGAATATTAAGGCTAAACCGCTAAAGCATTACTTAACTTAGAAGACAATATAAGCAACCCGATGCTTTCAAAGTGAGAAGTCTCGTGGAATGCTTTAATGGTGCACCAGCCCAAAAGATGGTGTACCAGCCCAAAAGGTTGCAAGTACAGTAATTCCTACCTGTTCGATCTGATCGGGCGGCAAGCGCTGAAAATCCAGTCCCCGCTGGATAATCTTCTCCACATCGTAAATCTTAATAAACCCATCTTGACTGCCGGTGGCCACCAGTTTCCCCGTGGAGCTGAAGGCCGCGGCGTGGATGGGACCCCGGTGGCTGGTCGTCACGGCGAACTCGTACACCGTCAACGGCGGCGAGCTGATCTCGACCGAGGAGTCCACATTGAGATCCAGCGTCTTGGCGGCCGGGTCAGTGGCCGGCGTTTTGCGGGGGGTCTGGTGGTAGACGAGGTGGAAGAGCTCGTCGGACGGGGGACAGGGGGGATCCATGAGGTTGAGCGCGTTGGCCACCTGCACCCCCACGGCAGAATAACCGTCCTGGAACAGCTGGCTGATCATCAGACGGTACATGCGCTCGCGCACCTGGTGCGATTGGAATTCCATGTGGTGGTTAGGCGGCTCCATGTTCATGGCGACGGCGGCAGCGGGGAATATTGGTTAGTGAGGATGGCAACGATGATGAAGAGATCAACATGCGAATGATGCGATGCCACGCGGTCTCAGCGTTTTCATATCGCTGCAACACTGCCAACGCGATGTTACTACTTTTATGAACGCACAGTGTAAAAGCAGTGTATGCTTTACAGTTTTCCAGTCGAAAACTTCTTTTCTTTGTACAAAAGTAAAACACTAAACAGTGATAAAACCAAATAAACAGACTTAGAAAGACACAAATTTACAGGTTTGCATCACACTAACTGCAGTGCATTGTAAACTGAATCAGAACCTACTGGTGAGGCGAGCTATTTACCTCTAATTGTTAGCGCCAGCATAATTTCCACCCAGGGAAAACACATTACATTTCCATAGTTCCAGTTTTTTTTATTTTCTCTTTTAAATAACACTATTCAATTGAGAACATATAAGTTTTGTTTTGTATGATATAATTTCTGCCGCGTGGATTTCTTGAAATGTAAATGCTTTTTCAGCCGCCCTGGTTTCCCTTCTAGGACAACCGGAAATGCCCCAAGCTACCATCAACTCGTCACGCTACTTCATTTGCAAACTTTTTCACTTGTCAGCCGTTTCGACAGTCGACACAAAGACTTTTTAAAGTTTTCTTTGGTTTCTCTGTTTCGGGAATTTTGCTGCAAGGAGTGCAAGCCATCGACAAAGACTTTTATTTTATAAGTGGTAACGTTTTGTGTATTTTTTAAAGAGTCAGACGATAGATTTATGTACTACACTGTTGAATCTGACGTTTGAGAGCCTTGCTGGTGAGGCGAGCTACTTGCCGTTAACTGATCCCAGTCAGTCTGAGTCAGACTTGGTTCTTCATCATGATGCTCGTTCTCCTGAGCCTGACGCAATATGGACGCCGATCTCCCTAAACCCACCATCACCTCCCCCATCATCTACGCATCCGAACCGTGGTTTCTCTCACCCACCTTCCTCCTGACCACCACCGCCGTCGCCGCGGGGACCGCGGTGTATGTGTTCAACAAATCCGAGCTCTCCGTCAACATGGTCGTCGCGGACCTCCTGGGTTCCCTCAAAGACAACCCCTACTTCGGGGCCGGCTTCGGACTGGTGGGGGTGGGCGCGGGGCTGGCTGTCCTGCGCAAAGGGATGCAGTTGGGGACGGTGATGTTTAAGCGGCACTACACGGTGACGCTGGAGGTGCCCAGCCGCGATCGCAGTTATCAGTGGCTGCTGCAGTGGATCACGGCGCGGGCGGCCCGCAACACGCAGCATATCAGTGTGGAGACGACGTACTCGCAGGAGGAGAGCGGGGGCAAGGTGCTGACCAAGTTTGATTTCCTTCCCGGACCGGGTGTGCATATTTTTCGGTGAGTGTGTTGAAACTTTGTAACACAGTAATGAGTAACAACTTAAATTTTACTTAACGATTGGTTTGGTGCTCGTTGAATATTGCTTAATCAGTGAGCGGGGGCAGCTTTTCGTGCATTTGCTAGAATTATTAATACAGTAATTTGCTGCGAAATATATTTCATTAATTTTTTTAAACTATGAATTTGTCGTTTGGGCAGTTTTCGGGTACTACGAACTGATCGAAGCTCTTCCGAATTTAGCATGTCGTTTCCGATCTTATTCCAAAAATGTTCGGTTCTGCGGCTGATCGTTTCGCTGATCTTTATTTGATCTTTGTTTAATTTATATAATATTTATTTCTATCGCTTGGACAAATGATTGTCGATGAGGATTCGAGACAGAAGTCATTCGTCGTCGTTTGAGTTTGTAGAACTTTGCTTTGGTATCTATTCGACACAGTCAGGGTGATGCAATAAGTTTAGAGTTTTCTAATGCGCCTGCGCATATCCATTTATACTTTATGCAAAAGCCCTGCATCGTTGCAGTCAGTGCGATCGGTCGTTGTACACCTCTTTTGCATTCCGATTTCGCGAACAGAATCTCTTCATCTCCGGGACTATGGTCCAACGCGTGCAAGAGTGAAATTGTTCTTGTCGTTGCTGCATGCCGTCCCGCCCATCTGCCACCATGTCTGCACATCTCCATAGCTCATCCTTGGATATTCCGAATGCATTAAACTGAAAACAATTAGCAGTGATAGTGGGTTTTGATGCAAAATGTCTTGTACAATACATGTGCAAGTATCTTATATATATATACACCGCATTGCCGATATCCGGTGCATCTGGATCATGGTATAATTATAATGAATCGTCTACTGATGCTTGGCCGGCTAGGTTTTGTGCTGAATTTTTAGAAAGTGACTTAATTTTGCCTAGTACAGAGTATAATTGTGTATGGAGAATTATACCAATAGTTTTCAGTGCCTGTTTCTTACGTGCACAATCGGCAGTAGGAATATGTGTTGATCAGCTCTCCCGTGCCAGTCCACCGGAAGTACTCGTTATATTCAGCGTCGTGTGCGTCCAGATAATGCAGATACTCCGCTAGTTGCTTGGGATGGGCATAATTGTCTACATGAATAAAGGAGCCGTACGGGGCGACCGCTTCGTAGTCGGAGACGGGAGCTCCCATGACAATTGGCACCACTTCCGCCCTGTTTAGTACACAGAGTATCTCCTGTACTTGTATAGTAGTGCATACTTTTTGAACTGCTTACAGTTTATTTATTGTAACTTGTAAGTTGTAAGCGATAATCATTTTTGAAAGTATCGCTATCGCGTGAATACTTCTATACTTCTTTGTATAGCGTTATGCACAGATACCTACGAAAAAACGAATCAAAATTTATAACATTCAATCAGTCCAAAGATAAAATTGCGTAAATAAAAATTAAAGTTATAAAATATGTCCGTAAAATAGCATTTCTGTGTGACTTTATTGGATTTAAGATAGTAATATATCCGCCTGACACAAATTACTCTTCATTGCAAACCGAATTTTCTTTGCTGTATGGAAACCCAGTACGAATTTGAAAATAATTGTAAACGCGCATAAATTTCTCGTACGGGATCTCGTACATATCAAATAACAATAACGAGCTTACCGTAATGCTATCCAGAATTTTTCTGTGATATACCATCGGCAGTTGCTGTTCTATAAATAGCAAATTGACCGGTAATGCAATCGTTTTTGATTGATTTTGTTGTCTTTCTAACCTCGAAGGCTAAATAATACTTGTAGTCTTTTTGGAGAATACTGAGGCATTTCTCTTGTCGGCTCAAATCACATTTGTGTGGTCCACAGCGGCCGAAGATGTCCACGGGATAATACTTGGCCAATTCCTTAGCATAGGCCAAGCGGTTGTTGGGCGCCTCGCAGTTGGACACGAACCAGGCGATGCGACCGGGCTGATGCTTGAATCCGCGCTTTTTAGCGGCGATGTTTTCCGTCTGGTTTTTCGATTTGATGTTGCGGTCGTAGAGCACGAATTTCTCATACGGCGTCACTAATTCGCTATCGTGCCGGTATCTAGATGAAAAATAACAAAAAACTAGTTTTCGAAATCGCGCAGTGTTGATGTTTTTTTTATCCTGTGTATTTTTTTAAAAATTATTGAACAGAAGATTTATTTACATCTGTTTACAACGCGCGATGCGGCTTTGGCTTATAAGTGCGAGCAGTTTACTTCTCAATAAATGAGTAAATGTTATGGTTTTCTGAGGCATCGCTTAAATACGTTGCCTTCCAAAACTTACGTTGCCGTCCAGTTGATTCTGTCCTTGTATGGATTGAAATCCTTGGAATAGTTTGGTGGCTCCAAAAGGGACAACATCCAGATTTGGTTCAGTGGACGCTTGTATCCCTGTTCAAGTGGCATGATATTAATGTTGGGTTCCGGTGTTTAAATTTCTGTGCTATTCATTACTGGAAAACTGTATATGCGCCGACTCCTTATTTGCCTTTATGCAAAATGATTAACTAAAATTATTAATGTAATAGCTAAAAACCTATTTTTGAGAAAAACTGTGGATAAAAACATGATTCCTTTCTCATTATATAGATATGACGGACAATTTTATTTTATTGTGGACACTTTACAGGTTGTCAAGTTCTCGCGTTCCCTCCCCCAGTTGGCCAGTGTACTACGAAGTTATTCCCACACTGTACTTGCTAACCCTCGCAGGCAATACGCAGTAATATTATTTTTACATACTGTTGCTGTTTTGTACAGTTATACGCTATCACCGCTTATGGCTGATGGTGAACGCGCTACTTACTCAGAACTTTCGAATTAATTTTCAGAAATAAGGTTTGCAATAAGCTTTAGGAAAAATCGCCTCAGATAAAGGTTCTGCATGATCAGATTCCTATGTTTCAGGAGTATGCAGATATAATATGTGCAGCTGATATAGTGCCCGTAGTCTGCGCTGAGCAAACTTTTTGTTAATCAAACACTGTATGTTTTATTGGAATTTTGCTTTGTAAAATGTTTCTTACTTCGATAAATTCCCCGTTAACATAATCTTTAAAAACAATGGCATCGGCCTCCTTAGCCTTGTCCAGGTCGTACGTCAGCCGGCAGTTCTTTACCGGGCATCCCGTTTTATAAAAGTATGCCTTCCCAACCGGCAGCCGCTTGCTGCTCTTCACTTTTTGCCCCGCGAACAAGATCGTTTTGGTGCTGTGAAAGCGGTAATGCCCGCTGAGCATATCATCGGAATATTTAGAATATAAGAGCTGATTCTCCACGCGATCGTTCACGCCGTGGTTTTCCGGCCAGATCTTGGCGATCTCCTTTTTGCCCTCACCGAGGGATAAAGTGAAGGAAGACGTGCGCAGAGTGGCGTTGCTCATGTACCAGCGTTCATAGGGAATATCGGGGAATTTTTCCCGAACGGGAATGACGTTTTCATTCACGACGGAGAATTTGGGAATGGGTGGCGTCTCCGCTTCCGGTGGGCTGGGTGGGGCTTCCGGTTCATTGTTGGGCGCGAGATTGCGCAGTTTACCGTTGAAGAAGATGAGGAAAAGTAGGGCGTATAAGGAGATTATGCGGCCAGCACGGTTGACGGCGAGTTTTCGCCAGAGGATTTTGAGTGTGTAATTAATGGTGGTAGCGACATTTCGCATGGTCGCAAATAACGGATAAGACGGCGAAATGGATATATCCTAAATATCCGGTGCGAATGCAACGAGATTATTTTGAAGATGCGAATTCCCGAATTGAGAAAATCCGATAATAAACGGATAATATTTTTACAGTAGTTAAATAAACAGAAAAAATGTTAGGAAGTTGTTCCCATAAAGTGTCCCCTAACCTGAATTGTGAGTTTGATTTGTACCCGGACTTCGATGGTGAACTTTACAATTATCAGTACTGAAAGCTGAAGCAGTTTTTAATAAATTAATTGAATCATTAATTCCTGAGTAAGAAGATGAGCTTCCTATACAGGAAGTTTATACAGGCTTTTAGCGAGAAAAAACATACGTGAAACCACAGTCGAAAGACTCTTCGCAGTGCATTCTGTACATTGATGACAACCGGTTTCAACGGTGCAGAATCCGAAGATATTGATGTATCAAGTACAATGAACTTCGGAAATCGTGATGCACCTGCAGTTATTGTACGGCACAATTTGGAAGGCCTGATAGACTAATTTTTGCCAGCCGCAGGCTTGAAATTGGATGTACGTTATAACTTATAACATTATGTGGCATTTTGCAAACGCCGTAAATGTGATTACATAGGTAGTTTACATGGATCTGTTTTGATTTGGTGGTATATGTTTCTGAAATTTGTTATTTGGGTTTTCAGTGTAATTTCTGAGCCATATTCAGATTAGAATTAATTATTTGCATCAGTTGTATTAATTCAGATACTTTTCGAAATCAGAAAATGAAGTGCAGTGTAGGTTGTTTACTAAACGTACAGTTGCAGCATGCTGTGTGTGATCTAGATACAAAAACAACTGGATCCGCGTGGAGCGCAACCGGGAACAGCAGGCGATGGATTTCTCCATCGGCGCCCCGATGGAGACGGTGACGTTGACGTCACTGGGACGGGATCGGCAGATCTACCTGGATATGCTGGAAGAAGGTGAGCGATTGTTCAGGAAACACGAAGAACAGCTATAAATCCGTTATCTAGTCGCTCGGTTTAATAATTTGTTATTCTCGAATCGTGATGACTTGTATTAGTGAACGAGCCTTTTTAACCGATAAAAACATACATGACCGGAAAACTTTTTATGTATTTTTTCTTGTATAAAAGCAAGCCGTATCGTTTATTTCGAAATTCTTCGACGCTCTGTATGCTCCTGATATTGCACTTACACATACGTTTTACCGAATGTAAGAATTATATAAGTTTATATAAATTTCATGAATTTTTATAATTTCTGCTGTATAAATTTTCGATAGATAATTCGATCATCTGTACGAATATCCGTAATTCGGGATACAATTGTAGTATGTGGGCTAAATATCCTTGCGCCGTGGGTCCATGCCATCATAAGTCCTGAAGAATGGCGCTTGAAAAAAACGCTGATTAAATTTGTCTTCTCGATTTAGAATTTGTAACTGTGCATTTTTTGCTCCGTTGGATTTTTTCGTTCGTTTCCTTTGTTAGTTTTGGATTTCCTTGTACCAGAACAGATAAATTTACTATTGCATATAATATATTGCAAATATGGTATCTACTACTTTGTATTACTGTATTATATGCCTTGCATACGCCATTCTCTTTTGCACTGTTTTGTATTTGTTCGTCGCACTCTTTTCAGACTCTGTGCTCTACGTATTATACAAAGTTTTTGTTATGAATACGTAAACCAATAAGAATAATATTTCTTTGTTCATCAGCCCGGAAATTGGCTCTGGAAAAAACCGAAGGGAAAACTGTGATCTATACGGCGATGGGATCGGAGTGGCGGCCATTCGGTTATCCCCGGCGTCGACGCCCCCTGGATTCGGTTATTCTGGACAAGGGGGTGGGAGAACGCATTCTGAAGGATGTTACCGAGTTCATCAATTATCCCGCGTGGTACATTGATCGGGGAATACCTTACCGCAGAGGGTGAGCATAAGCAGCTGGTTACTTTCTTTTCATTGTGTTTATCGTTCGCATTCACAGATGCCCGCCAGTTTCACTCGACGAGGCAAACGGATTTCACTATTCTATTTAAATATTTAAAAGCTAGAGAGATCTGATAAAAAAATTTTTGCGCTAGAATAATAGTGAATTCAATTTTTCGACAATAATTTTAAGACTTCGCATCGTCTGGCGGACACATGAAAATGTTCGTGCCATTCCACTACGATGTGCCGTTGTTTTAGTGTACGTGCATGTGCACTACTGCTTTCGATGGGGTACATGGTTCTCGCTTTGAGGCATCGCAAATATCCAGTACTTGTTTGCCTTTTAAGACACTTTTATCAGGTACATATTGATGCGATGGATTAATCGTTTTCCGGTGGGATGTGACGTTCGTTTAGTAAAATACAAATTCTTTGTTCTTTGCAGGTATCTGTTGTATGGACCCCCCGGTTGCGGCAAGAGCAGCTTCATAACGGCCCTGGCCGGCCAGCTGGAGTACAGTATCTGCATTCTCAACCTGAGTGAACGCGGACTAACCGACGACCGGCTCAATCATCTGCTCAATGTGGCCCCGCAGAACAGCATCATTCTTCTCGAGGATGTCGATGCGGCCTTTGTTAACCGCGAAGAAAGCCATCAAGGTACGTCATCCGGTCACATTTATCCATTTGAACAACTCCAATGCTTCACTATTGACAAAGTCCTAAATACTAAATATAGTGTACTAAAAACTGGAATACAATAATTGAAGATTGTTGTTTTTTTGCGGGAATATCATGGTTATAGAGTAATTTTGCTTTTAAAGCAGCATGTTCCGTGTGCGATTCTCAGAGCTTACGCCCGTTCTCTCGCCGTACTTTAAAGTTTAAGCAAATGAACGAATATGATATTATATATTCAAAAATATGTGGATATACGAAATATAGATATTGAATAGGTATGTGTATTAAAATAGTATTTTGTTTGTTTATCTCCCAAAATGTTGACGCTATTTGAATGGAGCTTCTTTGATTGGATATGAAAATTGAGTGAATTTGATTGGAGAGAGTTAATTTTGATTTTTGATTTCTTTATTATTGTTTGATTTATGCCGTAAACAGAATAAAGGGTTTTTGATTATGCTTGTGCAGTTGGCGTGGCCTACGACGGATTGAATCGGGTGACATTCAGTGGACTGCTGAACACCATCGACGGAGTGGCCTCGGCGGAAGCGCGCATCCTCTTCATGACCACGAACCACATCAACAGGTGAGATTCCCTCGCCGATGAGACGGGTCGTTGATGTGTGCTTGCTTGATTAATAATCTAATATTATTTTGTCATTTCGAAATAGTTTCGCTACTCTTAACGAATCACCCAATCAGTCGTAATCACCGTCCGCCGGTTCACATTCAGATAATAGCAGTACGTGTACAGTTTACAGTGAAATCGTAGTACAAGCCATGTACTACGATTTCACTGTAAACTTTTCTTTGAAGCTTCATGATAGTGCCGCGTTCGTCTACAGAGAATGCGTATTGCTCGGTGTAACTCTTGTGGAGAGGTTTCTTCGGAGCATATGAACAATCCGAGTAAATTTTTTATGGGATTACGGCGTTTCCGGCTACCTGTTGCCTGCTTTTGAATTCCCGTATATCGCACAATTTATACTTTTAGGCTTCTTGTTTTTCGTAAATTTATTTGCGCTTCTGTCTAAAGTCCTAAAACTTCACCGGTGCAGAATTTTTAAATAGCTTTTTGCACAAAAGCTGCAGTTGCATCCAAATATCAGCACTAACATTATCCTGTAAAATTTGTCAAATACATCCATGTTTTTACTAGTACATCGTTTTTACTAATTTGTCAACGAGTTCTTAACTTTTGAATTTTGTGCTTTCGAAGTAAGTTCAGTAGATTAACATTATCGCATACTTGCCACTTGAATAAGAATTGTTCTAAACAATAAAATTTTGAAATGTTACTCTTTCCGAGTTTGTGGTAACGTTAACGATGTTGAGATCGCTGCTCTCGGATTAGGTAAACGCTATATTAGGCGCGCCCCATGGCTCTTATACTTCGGTGATCTATCAATAATCGTAACGATCCAAATACTTGTACTCGTACAGATTGCTGTATATTATTGCTACTTTTTTCTTTTTCCCAAAATATTGAGTAGTATTCCTTAATATTTTTGCGAATGTTTCGTTACATAGGCAGAGCTTTATTAAAAGAAATTAGACAGCGGGACGCCAGATGATCTTGGTGTTTTGTTAGTGTGCTACTTGGAATGTGGATATGTATTGCAGGTTGGATCCGGCGCTGATCCGCCCGGGCCGCGTGGACATGAAGGAGTACATTGGGCATGTGTCGGAGTATCAGCTGCGCCGGTTATTCCACCGTTTCTACCCACAGGAATCCGCCAAACGCGCGGAAGCCTTTGCGCAGTTGGTCCTCAGTCTGGGCGTGCCCATCAGTGCGGCGCAGATCCAGGGCTTCTTCCTCATGTTCAAGAACAACGCCGAGGAGCTCTTCCGTAACGTACAGTTTCTCCTGCCCACGGCGCCGCTGCACGCGCAGCCGGCGGTGGGGCAGGCGCCCTTCCACGGGAAGATGGAAGAGCGAAACGCCGTGTAATGTGTGCGAATGAGTGAAATCGTAGTATCCAGTTGTGATATAATTGTTTGCTGTTTTTCGTATCCAATTTTTTGCGGGCGATTTCTGTGTCGGTTTGTTTTGTATGTATGAAAGCACAAGAAAAGGATGAAGAAAACCCTATTCTCGTTGCATTATCAATTATTTTATTGTAAGTATAATAGGAAAAGAAAATATGTTTCCGTGGTATCGATAGCCACCGCAACAGATATCAAATGATTGTAAATTTCGAAAAATTTTCTGATCATGGTTCAACCGCGGATTTGTGTTTACTAAACGTAGTACTATAGATTCGTTCGAGATAATAATTTATATACCAACAGGTGTAAAATAATGCAGATTTTACAGTGCACAATTTGTGATTCATTGCACTTTGAGTTTAATAGAATGAAAATTTTATTGGCCGATAAATGATAAGCAAGTCAAGCATGACACGATAATCACGTGGATGCGGCGGCACATAATGCGGCATGGTACGTGTAGATGTAAAACAGCCTTATCGCGATTACTCTACTTTTAGCTCATTTGGCATTTTGTCACAAAATTATTGATAGTGTCATTGCTGCGGGAGATAAAATTATTAATTATGTTTATTACTTACTACAGTGCTACTCCAAGATTGCAATAAATTAGTGTCTGCTTGTACCGCGGGGGTTGCATTTACTGTACTCCCGATAAGAACAGTGCCAGTCAGTGGCAGTCACAATGACACTAACAAAAGCGTCCGCATCGCATATAAAAACAACGTAACCACCAGTGCTAACAGTCGACAGCTCCAAATTTCCGTACTCGACTACACCACAGCCACAATGCATTCCCTGGCCGTTATTTTCACCGTTCTTGTCAGCGTGACCTTTGCCACCGGTGCCTTTCCACCGGCGCAGCGCTCGTCCCTGGACTACGCCATCCCGTCGACCCCAATAAACCACTACTGCAACTTCAGCGTCTACCAGTTCTGGGATGACTTCAACAGCGTGGAGCTGTCCTGCGGCAACACGTGGGACAGCCCGCTGGATGACCTGAGCTTCGACTGGGACACCACCAACTTCTACGAGGCGATGTATCTGCAGCCGGGCCGCAACCTGTCCAACGCCGTCCAGGACGCCCTGCAGCAGGTGAAACGCCGCTTCCACAACGGGACCCTGTTTGTGGACGTGGAGGTGGACGGGTACCATCCGCGTTCTCCGCAGATTGTCTACAGTAAGATTCTGGCGGTGCTGGAGATCGGGAGTGGTTGGGTGCGACCGCTGCGGGGCGAGGATCAAGTACGGATCCGGGTGTCGCGGGTTGGGTTGAAGATCCAGCCGGATGTGGTGTTGGGGAAGCAGTTGAGTGTGATGGCGGTTCATACGGTTATTCCCGTTACGCATGCTTGATATAACTGATTTTTACATGCTTGCGCGAGGTAATTGTGCCAATACATGCAAAGAATGCCAGCAACACCATCCAGCTAATTAATTTTATTCTGTCAACACATGCAGAGATTGCGAAATGTTCAAACTATTAAAAACCGCTTTGATAGAAACTTAAAAAGCGCATGCTTTCCTATGAAAAAAATTGTAAAAAAAAACAGAAGACCAACTATGGAATTGAAAACCGCATGCACCCCTCATGCAGATGCAAAGGCACAATCTAAACTCTGCTCTATTTCACCAGTGGAAGTGTCGTTCATTCACAAGGCGTCTAGACAAAGTTGGCGCATTCCGCACCGTGCGCCCGGTAGGCGGGGATAGTCGTTTTCGATGCGAAGGAGACCATCGGCGTTTTCACCGAAACCGGCGTGTCGGTCAAGAGGCAGGTAGCGGACGACACCGACGGCCGGCGTGGCATCGGGGTGTACACGTTCTCCACCGCTTGACGCCGGGTCGGATTAACTATGGGCGACGATGACGGTGTTCCTGTCGACAGTAAAATGCACAGTCAGTACAGCAGGCACACAGCAAATTATCCAGAAGCAAAAGCATAGTATTATAAATGCTTAATGCATTCGAGCACTGCCACGAAGTATACTTAGTAATCATAACCGAAAGCGTAAAATTTTTAATGCTTGATATAGTCGAACACTGCATCCATGAATCCATAATCAAAAGCGTAAAATTTTAAGTGCCTAATGCATTCAAATACTGCATCTCTAATAATGCGAAGTACATCTGAAGACGAAATGGTGACTAGTTGGTCACTGGTTAGGGCTATAATACAGGCCAACTAATAAACCAGCCAAACCGATTTCTGCAGGGCAAGCTGTACAGGATGTACAGTGCGCTGCAGGATGTACAGTTAGAAGTACAGTACATACAATAAGTGCAGTTATGAGACGGATCAAACCAAGATATTATGTAACCGAGGCAATTTTTAGCCGTAAACTGTAGGTAATACTCAGATCCGCAGGCTTTACCTTGCATCCTGCGCCGTCGTCTGTCTGGATTATGGCGTCTTTTCTCCCAGACAAACATGATCACAAAACACACGGAGAGCAGCGCAATACCCACGCACACCGTCGCGATAGCCACCAGCAGCCAATCCGGGATGTAAGGAGAAGGCCGTGGTAGGGGACTTCTTCACATCGTCCAACGCCGTACGCGGACCGGTAACTTTCGGAACGATGGCGGCGTCCGCTTGAACCGGTGACAGCGTAACAGCACCCTCTGCGTCGATGGTTTTCCACTGTGGAACTGGCCTCTGTGGACTCCACCAGCCGGCCAACGTGGAATCCACCGGAACCGCACTGGGCGCTGTTGTTGACGTGGCAGTTGAGACGGGACGGTCAGGATCTGCAGTAAACTCCGACGCAGGTTTATCTGTCGCTAATGCGGTTGCGGGTGACGGTTGGCTGAATGGGGTTGTTGCTGTGGTAGTTAATGCAACAGGATCAGGATCTTCCGCCACTGGAGATGCAGGAACCACAGTCGCTTGTGCGGCTGCGGATGACGGTGTGTTAATTAATGGATGTTGCTGTGTTTTTTTCCGTTTGGCAGCAATTTTAGTTCTAGGCCGAGCTGCAAAATTAGTTACCAACGTCAAGCGATGATAGCAAAAGCTTTCTGCATCACGGTCAATTTACGCTTAAGTGGCTTGTCGATTCAAACACATCTTTAGTAACATGATGTAGTAGACGGCAAATTATCGCACAATCTTTTTTGATCCAGATCGCTCGTTACAGTATGAGAACAAAAATGAAAAGGGGACAGGCCACCTTTCCGCCGTAAATTGCTTCTCGTATTCAAAATCCGTAGGCGTATCTTAAAGTAACATATAGGTATTATCTTTGATTACCTTTAATATTCAGCTGGAAATATGGCAGCGTAACGACAGGGCCAGCAGTGTTCCCCAGTCCTTCCGTGTCATCTTGAGCCTTGCAGGTGAGGTAATCCTCAAACAGATTCTCCGTAGCCTTAAAGCGCCACGTAACGCGACCGGTCTTGTTATCCTTCGTCAACTGACAACCTTCAGGAAATCTGACTACTGCCAGAAGATAACTGTTGATTAAGCTGTACGAGACTGCAAGGGTAATGCGAAGGAGCTGAGCAGTACGTACTCGATGGCTCACAATCGATGTCTCTCATTTCGATGCGGTTGCGGTACCATGCCAGGGACGGTAAAGGCTTCCGGCCTCGGACGGAACACGCCAAACTGACACGGTCTCCGGCGGTAACTCGCACGTTCTCGGATGTAACTGGTTTTCCGTTAATCGTATAACCTGCAGCATTCGTCCACAGCTAGAATTTTGATCGCGGTACACTAACCCTTTTTCAAATTTTCATTTGCTTGACACTGAGACCCAAAGCATGCAACAAACTCGACTGGCAGACGGTTTATTTGATTAACTCCGCAACAGTATCGTAGAAATGTTTTTTTTTAAACACAGCACTTACTGACAACTCGTAGTAGTGCCCAGACTGTAGCGTTTCTCTGGTCCGGCTTCACAGGATCGGCCACACAGGTAATTCTGCCGGCATCCTCCGGCTGCACATTGCTAATGGTCAGCGTGTGCATTCCGGTGTGCTTGTGCGGATAATTCGGAGAGGTGACAGTCCAGCGCGGCCTCTCCGTGAAATCAATCGGCTTATCCTTGTGCCGCCAGTGTGTGCCGTTGCTTTTCATTACATCGCAGATGAAAGTAACAGTGTCGCCCTGGGCGACGGTGCGGTCGGGGAGTAGTGATGCGATCATGTCGCGGGCGTGTCCGCCACCACATTCTGCCAAAAATAAGGCAAATAAAGTATGAGACAAATGGCATGCTGTGAATAAAACGCGAAAACTGCACACTGCAAACAAGGAGAAGTCTGAGAAGACAAACATCTATCAGGAATGACCCATAATTCATGCTAACAGCTAACTCTTATGGAAACTGCAAGAAATTATTAAACAAAGAAATTATAGCTGTAATGCTCAAGAAATTGCAGTACGGCAATAACATTACGTCAATCCAATTTCAGCGCATGCACAGGTTCGCCTTACCGATAGCTGGAAGTAGCGCAAACAGTAATCCGGAAAACCAGGCAGAATCGAGCCACTTTGATTTGAGCATGGCAATGTGATAGTGAACCCTACTAACGGAATAAAAATATTCGATCATCAGCAGGTTAAACGAAATCACATTCTTGACAACAGTTAACGACAGCTTTGTCAATGCTTCCACAGATTCATTGAAACTGACATGTGTTGCCACCGCTAGGCTGGAGTTGCGCAGTTTACACATTTGTCAGATGCGTCCATACATCTTTTCACGCTTTACCGGTTACCCAAGACACATATTCCAAAAAGCCTGTAAAAGTTCAAGAGCCACGAGCATGCCCAAAAGCGCGCGGCGCAAGTGAAGTATCGGTAGCAAATTCAGGGGGAAAAAGGGTTTGTCTCGCTTTGAATTAGGGATAAGTTTGGGAATTGCTACCGTGTCCAGCTCCGTGATTCGAGGTTTGACTTGGATGAGTCAAGCCTCCCGTAAATCATTCTTAAATTTGGGATTGCTCTGCTGCGAGTATTTGCAGAATTGCAGGTAAATGCAATTTTAGACTTTGCACTGTACAGTACAAAAAAGCGGAATGAGGGTAGGAAACAGGAATTAATAAAAGTCGGTGGTCCACACCTGATCGCGACGCGATAGCAGGCACTAGCATCAGCAGCACTACCATCACAAGAATTTCATCGTTCTTGGATCGTGCTCAAGGTATCTCGCCTTGGAATTTATGACAGAAAGAAGTCTTGCAAATAGTATTACCGAAGTCGACAAAGGAGTCACCTGGATGGTGCCAACGTCATAGATGCCGCTCGCGGCACGATCAAATATCCTTCGTCAACGGCGGGTTTGCCACGGGCAGATTGGCAGAAATGCACTCTGACTAGAAGTCCTGACGTTGCTGATAAGTTGATAACAGAAGGCAGAAAATGTTATAAATACCGAATTACCAATTAACAATAAAGCGAAAACGAGAGCCAGAAAATTGGCTTCGATCCAACGAACCGTAATTGCTTATTAGCAGGTTAAAGTAGGTTCGCAATGCAAATTTGCGTTTGCTCATAATGGGTATATACAGTGACAGCATTAAAACCAATTTACAGATCATCACGCGTAACGGGCAGCTCGCGCAGCGGTCGGGGAAAACGAAAATTGTTAATATACACTCTGCTCCCTGCCAGAAGGTGTACCTGCTCTGGTGTTTGACGCAGTGCCTCATGACGTTTTTCCCAAATCGATTGCGTTTTTCCGATCGGTAGATCTTATGATTCTTATCTTTTAAAACGATCTTCTGATGTCTGGTTGAATTAATGGAATTGACGTTGTAAAGAACGCCACAGTTCAGAAACTCTATTGTAATAAACTTGTTTAAAAAGAGATCGTGATTTTGTGCACCAAGTCTTGTTTCGTCACTGACATCTCATGTTCGTCATTCTGCAGTAAACACGCAACAGGTACTCTAGTGGTTCTTTAACTTGTAGTCATTCTCTTCTACCTTTTTTACCATGTGCATGCACACTAAACCACACTGTTTACCAGTGTCAATATTTATAAACACAAAATGCATGCATTTTGATGTTTATATACTTGAATGCACTGAGAGAAAGAGGGCATCAACAATTTTTTTTAAAAAACACGTGACCAAAAATCACGAGGCAAAAATTACGTCATCCATACCGTACACCGATGCCTGCAAGGGGAAATCGCTTGCATAATATGGCCTTCCCTGTACTGTTCAAGTCATCCGTATGGATTTCCACGTCATAGCTGAACAGGGATTTTTATAAGCGCTACATTTATAGTAACTGCACATGTTGCTAGTTAAAAGTCGAGTTAGCAAACGTATCTCGAAATGCGTATAAGTGATTACACTCACGCTGCTCTATATTCCTGGTAAATTTTTTACTGTTTTTTTACATGAAGAATTCACAAAGCCATCAGAGCCAGACGTTATAAAAAACGAATTTCAAAGACTTGGCGCGGGACGCAGGTGGCACCGCCCAGGGTGGCACCGTGATTTGGCTTGTGTGGCACCATTTTAACAGATTTCAAAATTTTTCATCCTTTTAATTTTCAATTTTCGGGCGCAACTATGGTTGCAAAAATCCATACGGTTGACTGGACAGCACAGCGAAGGTGTGTAGTATGCAATCGATTTTCCTCCATATTAAACAATCAGGTTCAGGTGCAAATTTACTACTGGCCAGCATTTTTCCTGATTAACCACCATCCGCACCATTAACCACCTAGTTGTGACCCTGGATAGCATAAAGAGACTTTCAACCGAACTCCTCGCCGAAGGGCTGCTTTGCGTACAAACGAAGAATCTTAACAACGATATGCAGGAGGTAATACTTAACCGTGCAAGTTGAACGTTTTCAAGCTTTTACACGATGCTTGGTTTTTAGAGATACTTCGCACAGTGTCGACAACTCGGTGGATCTTGTAATAATCCAACTGTTGAGAACATGCTGGCAATTTTTCGAATTCTGTCGTGCCACAATATGCAGAAAGTGTGCGAGCGATCAAAGACGAACATCGAACCAAGTGACGATGAAGTTGTTATTGGTTCAATGAATATTCTGGATTTGTCCGAAGAGTTTTCAAAAAAACTCGAAGCTGCTAAAACCTTGGCCCTGATTTCCCAATCTGATCCAGTCACTCCAGAACTTGAGCCTTTACCGGAAGGTGCTCAACTGGATAGCATTGTGAAAAATGTGGTTTACTATCTGAGCGGATTCACAAATAAAAGAAAAGAGCTGGAGGCTGAAGTTTGTGACTCTTGTCGTTCGGAGTTATTTTGGTTAGATTCCTCGAATCAAACTCCTGATTTTGCCCAACTGACCGAAATGAAAGACGATGGAGGTTTGAACTTCGTTGGAGTTGTTTTTTATGAAATGATATGCAGTCTGGAGCAGATAATTCAAAAACACATTGACGAAGTCCTCTACTTTTCTCCGCGTCAGTCACTTCTCGCATTCGCTGAAAGATATGTCATGGAGGATTTCGTTGCCAGAAAAAGTAATCTGCGGTCTCCATGCCTTGCAGATTGTTCGTGGAGTGAAATTTTTCGTAAAAGTGCATTTTATTATTTCCAAATAAGGATCCATTTCTATGTTAAGTTGATGAACGATAAGGTTGGCAAAAAATGGTCGAAAAGTGCCGAATCTAAGAAGCGAAAATTGAAAATTCACACGGGTTCATAATTAGTTGCAATGAATGTTGCGGGTTAATGTTAGTTGCAATGAATGTTTTGGGATTTGTTTTCATTCCTTGTAAATAGTTATTAAAATCGGCAGACGCGATACGTAAAGTTGCGTGCGTGAAATAAACTCCGTAGGGTTTACGTAGCGTAGCGTATCGATCAGCGTATCGATTCCCCGACCGCTGCACGAAGTGCCCGTTACGCTTGATAACACGTAAATTCTATTCAGAGCTGTCACTGGATATACCCACCTTGGTTTGCTGCTGTCCCCAATCGCTCGCGAGCATTTCATCAGAACTGCCAGTGCCAGGATAGACTGATCACTGATGAAGTCACCGGACCACCGAAGCCACTGAACTCGTGTTGCACCACAGAAACTGTGGCTGGCACTGGCTGCCACCCGGGAAGAGAGCGGCCCAAACCGTTACGGCTTACAAAAATTGTTATACTGTATCGTCATAATTTTGCTAAATTATAGTAATTATTGTTATGCAGTTTGTCCATTATACGAGCATAGAGTCTATTGTTTTTCTAGTACTACCGTAATACTTCAAGCAGAAAAAATCTACAAAATACTTTTTAATTTTTCGTAATAGCCAAATCTTCTTCTGTATTCGGCTCATCGGCTGTAACATAAATAAGACTCATGCTTTCGCATACTATATACAAAACTAATTAGGTAATTATGCAGCACAGCAGTACTAACCAATTACAATTGTTCGTTACGCACGCACGAGCCAAACACAGAAAGAACTAAACCAAAAAGGTACTGCCGGTTTTCGGGTATACGAGTCTCCAAGAGGTCTCGAATCGCTACTCGTACTGTAGCAGACCGCATTTTGCTTTTGCCATGGATGCAGGAACGCTTGTTATAATACACCGTGCGCTTCCGCGTAAAAATTGTGCTTGATTGGTTTAGTAGGACAAGATAAAACTGAAAAGAACGCCTCAAATGCTTTCTCCTTTTGTGGACAACACAATTATCTATTTATTTGTAAAAAGGTAGAAATGTATCGCTATATTCGCCGGCCCAATCATCCGTGCACCACTGCCGCACGACTGAGCACAAGTAATCAATCGGAAGAAGACTCGGAACCAAAAATCGTACAGCAGAATAGTAACGATCTAGTCACTTGACAGTAACTTGATCATGACATACATAATCCGAGCGCGCAATGGTTGTATTTTGCAGTTGCAAATAACCACAGATAGCGACGCAAGGCGGTTTGAAGTTTGACAAAAATCAGAGAATGTATACATTGACCGCTTCTTTCAATCTGTCTCCGAGTAATAACTCTTCGGTGTCGGAGCGTTTAAAAAACGCGACCTATACACAAGCGCCTTGGCCAGATGAACTGATCGGGATGACGGCTACTGCTATCCTTCTGAACATCGCTGTTCTATGGATTCTGCTAAAGGAGAAATCTCCACGAACACCATTCAATGTGTACATTCTTGTGATGACATTCAGCCACTTGCTATACCTTGCCCTCACCCAGCTGATGACCATTCTCACCATTCGCTACACCAACTGGCTATTACATCCTCCTGTGTGTACGCTGCATCTGTATTGTCGCTACGTCATCGTGGTCATCACGGTGCACAATCATGGGATTATTACGCTGAATCGTCTGTGGGCGCTCTTCTGGCCGCATTCATACCGTCAACATCACACTTACACAGTAGCGTGGTTAATCTGCTTCACTATGGTAGTGTACGTCCACGTTATCTCCTTGCCGGGAATCATTCTGGATGCGGTCTATTATCGTCCGCCCGGTAGTGTGTGCCGGATCAACGCCGCCGCGCAGCATGGTTGGACCATCTTCACGGAGATTGTCGCGTTTGATGTACCAAAACTATTCGTTCCGCTGTGCTATCCGCTGCTGTTATGGAAGTTTGTACAGCGAGCGCGGCAATTTCACCAGGGGCCACGAATGAACAGTAATCCATCAGCGTCCAGACCCGACCGGCGATACGATCACTTTACACGTCCGTTTGCCATTCTGACCTTCTACACGAGCACGGCTACGGTGTGCTGGATACCGGGCATTGTGTGTTACACCCTACTGGATTTCATGCCTAACGCAAAATCCCGATTTCCAACCTTCTTCACAGCCGAAGCGTTCATTTACCGGCTGCAGTCGGTTCTTGATCCGATATTATTTTGCTTAAGCTTGGGGGCAGTACGGACGTATATAACTCGCCGTTTGTGTTGGCAAAAGCAGGCTTCCACAAGCGTTGTCCGTCCATTGAAAGCAAGTATCCCGGCAGCGTCACAATAACGTTCAGCCTGGCTTTCTTGCTAGTGTGTTTTCTTTGCTTCAAAGTGCGGTAAAATGGCATTGCGACCTTCGAGTGTTCGGCCACTGGTTTTGTCTGGACCAGTCATACGTGTTAGTAGTTTCCGATTTGCGGCAAAGTAATTAGAGGAAAGCTGAGGCGAAACCTAAGCGCAAACGCTATAAATACTGTATCGACCCGAATTCTGTCTGAATCCAGTAATTAGTTTCCTGTTTCCGGAAACGAGAAGGTTATTAGTTCGGAATCGTTGCTTGCCGGTGGATGATTAAAGTGTATAACGAATTAGTTCACTGGCGTTTAAAGACACGCAACACCGTTCTTTGATTTGTAAGCACAACCCAAAGTACGAGTAACATGTCAACGTCTCAATGACACTGCAGTTTGGCATAGTACCGAACCGATATCTCGTGTGCCGCGGCAAAATCAAAAACTCGTGTTATCTACCGTATAAAAGTGGACGTTGTACGCTTGCTTTGCGGGACAGTTTAATTACAGGTTCTGATTAGTCTATCTGTGTCTTGCAAATACTACAATACTTCTACCGTCTACACATTAAGTCAAGCACTTAATTGGAAAGTGCAACAAAAAGAGCGTTTTTGGATCAGACATGACATTTTCTTCTCATTGTACCACACTATAGCGTGCTGGCGGTGCTGCAGATTGTTAACTTGCGAAAATTATTACTACTAGTTACTACTTGGCGCAGTGAGTGGAAAATAATTGGGTACTTTGCTTTCAATTTGCATTGTAGGGTAATACTATTCACGATCAAAGCTATAACCGCATTTACGAGCAAAAGCTTGACTACCATGCTATTCCGCTGTATAAGTACCCGTCTTTCAAGAGGAATGTTCTTATTCTTAAAGAAAACGGCGCCGTAGCGTACTGCAGCACTCATTCGGAATCTACTTCGAGCTAATATTACCCACGACCTTTAACTGTGTCGTGGTCAGATCTGACATTAATTAGCTCAGAATTTCCGTCATGATTGCATTTGGTCCCAGTTATGCATACCTCAGGTACAGTTCTAAAGTATTTATATTTCTTTTCCTTATCCGCCGTATAAGACCGCAATCAGGCAAACCGAGACATTCTTCAGGCAAACCGAGGCACTACAGGTAATTTCGAATTCGTTGGTAGCCTTACCAGTGAATCGAATCTTACCAGTGTTGTTAAATCTTAGTCTTACTGAATTTTAAAGCGTTCAGTCGCAAGGTCGAAGTGTTTGGAATTCGGGTTTAATTGACTGTACACCAAAAGCGTACAAAACCTGTTTTCTCTAGAAAAGCTCGTTCAAAGAATAACCTCACACCGTTAATGTCTCCATGCAATGCTGGTGCCTACTACAGGCGTTCGCATTAGATATAAAAACGGTTACATGTAAAAATGCACCGGTCTTCATGTTTTCATTTCAAGAAATTATTGTGAATCACGCTACATTATCCGCCGTCACTGCGCTGCAAGGAATTTCACATTTCATGCAGTTTTATATTTCATTTAATTTCATCCCTTCTTCGCATTTTGCGCAAGGGATCACAGGGTTATGAAATTAATTAAACTCAAATGAAGACTGAAATATGAGATCACACAAGCATGGTTTTAACCTTAATTTAATTTCCGTGGAACGGCAAATTTGGAAAGACTTTTCGTCATGCGCGTCCGCGGTAGCCAACAATATCTGTAATCTTAGAAGCGTGTTTAGCTTGTTCAATCATCCGGTACGATTGCTATCCGAAGTTCGGTCCAGCATGGAAATCGGTTTCAGAAACTGACCATGGCCGCTTCCTCCAATATGTCCTCTAATTCTGCAGAACAATTACACAACACCACAGTGAATGCACCAACGCCTTGGCCAGACGAAATGATTGGGATGACGATCACCACTAATGCCATCATTCTGAACGCCATCGTCGTCGGGATTTTACTGAAGGAGAAATCCCCGCGAACACCGTTCAACGTGTACATTCTGGTCATGACATGCAGTCATCACCTGTACCTCGTTACCCAGGTGCTAACGCTGCTCACCCTGCGCTACACAGCCTGGCTGTCATATCATCCCGTGTGCACATTGCGCCTATACTGTCTATACGTCATCGTGGTCATCACGGTGCACAGTCACGGGATCATCACGCTGAACCGTTTGTGGGCGCTCTTCTGGCCACACTCATTCCGGCACCATCATACCTACACTGTGGCATGGGTGATTAGTTCCGCGATGGTAGTGTATGTGCATATTATCCAAATGCCGGGAATCATCTTGGATGCGGTGTATTATCGTCCGTCCGGCAGTGTGTGCCGCATCAATACCGCCGCCCAGCACTGTTGGATCATCTTCTCGGAGATTGTGGCGTTCGATATACCTAAATTATTCGTACCGCTGTGCTATCCGCTTCTGTTATGGAAATTTCTCCAGCGAACGCGAGAGGTTCGCCAAGGGTCAAGAATAAACAGCAATCAAACCGCGCCCCGAGCCGACGTCCGTCGATACGACCACTTGTCGCGTCCGGTTGTTATTCTGACTCTGTACACGGTCACCGCGGCGGTGTGCTGGATACCCGGGATCGTCTACTTCACTTTACTAGATTTCATGCCGAACGCATGGTCACGATTTCCATCTCTCTTTTCCGCGGTAATGTTCCTTTACGGGCTACAGCCAGTGCTAGATCCGGTATTCTTTTGCTTGAGCTTGAAGACACTGCGTAGATACGCAACCCGTCGTTTGTGTTGTGAACAACCGGCTCCGCGGAGTGCTTTCCGCCCATCCGCAGTTACCTCAGCAGTGCATTAAATCCGGTCTGCCTTGCGGACTGATTATGTTGTGGCCTTCCATTATTGTTAAGTGCAATGACACTGCCACGTATTAAGGTACGTGCTCTTCTTTTGTTGAGATCTAACCACGCCTAACGCAGCCGGTGGATTACGCGTGTGGAGTCGGGGATTTTCAATTTGCACCATATGGTACAGGACAGTACTTAATTAGGAATATGAGTAGGCTCGATGTGCATGTGCAACGATTCTATGACCCTGTGATAATTCTTCGTAAATATGATAGCTACCATTCTGTTTTTCTGAAACTGAACATTGGCTGTGCTCAAAATGAATCACCAGGGGAGAGTAACCTATTTCACCGATTCGTTAACTGCTCGGTGAATCTCGGAAAGATATTCTCAGTTTTATCGGACGTCACATCCGTGTTGATCTGAGAAAAGACAAGCTTTTCATCCTTCGCCATTATAGTATATGCGATAGCGCGGCCACTGTTTTCCCTAGTTCTGGAACCTTCCGTTAATAATTATTATCTGTGCGACAACAGCGCATGTGGTAACGTAAATAATATCCCTTTTGATAAGAGCTGACGCCGGTCGGTGGTTTACTTTTATAGCGCCCGCCAGTTCGCTACTGCCGGCTGCAGAATTGTGCAAGCGCAATGCAACCAATACTGAAGTTAAATTATTGCAGCAGTGAATCCGTTTAGTTTCATATCCATATTCCATAAAAGGTTTTCTATGCTAGGAAAACATGCTTGACCTCTGCAATGGCATCTTCGATAGGACGGGCCAGTGTTCGATTATCTGCCTGCATGTAAATAGTAATGGGAAATAAATCTTCGTACTCGTGGTTATCATCCGGCGTACTGTTACTGCCAACGTCATAGATGCCGCTCGCGACTCGATCTGATATCGCTCGTCAACGGCGGATTAGCCGCAATTAGATTGGAAAGGCAAAACTGCACTCTGACACAGGAGTCGTAATGTTGATGAGAAAACCGAGAACAGATGACAGAAAGCGTTTTCCTTTAACTGTACTTCCAATTAACAGTATACCGAGCCAAAAAGTTGGCTTTGATCCAATGAACCGTATTAGTGCTAAACAGTTCAAACGTAGTTCAGAACTCGTTAAATCTGGGGTTGCTGCTGTCCTCAATCGATCGCGAAAATCTCATTCGGACGAACTCCTTGGTATGTAGTACTAAAGTTAACGAACCACTGAAGCGGTTAACTTGTGTTTTTTCGCAGAGGCTGCAGCTGCCATCGGAAGAATGCGGCTCAAACTTCACAGAATTGATAGTCCTAAATTAGGACTTGCTGAGCATATACTCTAAATTAGGACTCCTAATTAAGGGTATATGTTCAGCAATCGTTTATCAGATTTGTCTGCAGTCGTACTTCTACAACAATAGCGTGTGAGACCGGGA